CAGGGGGGAGGGGAAGAAGGAGAGGGAGAGCTAGAGAATCTCATGTACACTCCCTGCTGAGCATAGAGCTCTTGGGGCTCCATCTCACCACCCTGAGATCGTGACCTGATGGGAAATCAAGAGTCGGAAGCTAAACCTACTGAGCCACCCAGGCACCCCAAGACTTTGTAAAACTTTAGAAGAAAATGTCAGAACCTTTTGTAATGACCTGACTGTCAGGAAGAATTTTAGGGCATAAAAAACTGTAATTGAGACATATATATTTGACTACATTAAAGTTAATAAATTGAGATTCATCAAAAGATATCATAAAATGGAAAGATAAGCCCAAATTCGGAGAAAATATTTGCGACACATGTAACAGAAGATTAGTACCAAGAGTATATGGGGAATTTCTTCAGAGAAGTGGAAGAAGAAAACAGTCAAAAGGTCCAAATGGCCAGCAGACACAGAAATAGGCACAGCCTCATTAAGTCAGAGAAATTAGAACCACAGTATGATATTATTAAATCTGACAAATACTAAGTATCATGTGGATGTGAAGTAATTGTTAGTTGGATACAAATCATTATAGGTCCTGCCACTCTGGAAAACATTGTGGCACTAACTAGAAAAGTTACAGACCTGTGTACTCTATATTTCTTACACATCCTGGAGAAATTCTTGCATATTTTTATCAGTATGCATGTATAAGAATGCCTACAGCACCATTGTTTCTAATAGCAAAAACATGAAAACACATGTCCATCACCAGAGTAGATTAAATTTTGGCATATTCATATGTAGTGAAAATAAGTGAACTGCGCTTATTTACAACAACATAAATGAATCTTGGGAGAAATAGTGTTGTACAACAGAAACGAGTATTAAAGTAGTGTCAGTCCAGAGGGGCACCTGGGTGGCTCAGTCGTTAAGCGTCTGCCTTCGGCTCAGGTCATGATCCCAGGGTCCTGGGATCGAGCCCCGCATCGGGCTCTCTGCTTGGCCGGGAGCCTGCTTCTCCCTCTCCCGCTCCCCCTGCTTGTGTTCCCTCTCTAGCTGTCTCTCTCTGTCTCTGTCAAATAAATAAAATAAAATCTTTAAAGTGTCAGTCCATTTATACAGTTTAAAAGTAGGTAAGCTGTTCAGGTATTTTTTTGAGTGTTACATTTGTAGGTGGTAAAACTATAAAGAAAAGCCACAGTATGATTACTTCAAATATATAGGATACTGGTTACTAGTGGTGGCGGGGAAAAAGAGAGGGAGAAGGGAATATGGTAAAAAATTTTTAAGAATTAAAAAAAAAAAAGGGAGATTCACTTAGGGAGGGCGGCATATGGAGTTTCAAAGGTATTGCTTGCTTGTTTGTTTCTTTCTTTTTGAAGATTTATTTTTAAGTTATCTCTACACCCAACGTGGGGCTTGAACCCACAACCCCGAGATCAGGATTCGCATGCTCCACCAACTGAACCAGCCAGGTGCCCCTCAGAGGTATTGTTTCTTAACCTGGCTGGTGGTGGATACACAGGTGTATCCTGCTCTCTCTCTCTCTCTTTTTTTTTTTAATGTAGAAGTGTATATGATATAATTTACAATAAAGTAAAGGGGGAATCAGAGAGTCAAAGGACAATGAATTAGTAAGGTTGGAATACAGAAATTTCTCAAATCAGAGAAATGGGATGCTTTGGAAAAAATTTTTTTTTATTACAATTAAAAATGAGAAATTTGTGGGGCACCTGGGTGGCTCAGTCGGTTAGGCGGCTGCCTTTGGCTCAGGTCATGATCCCAGGGTCCTGGGATCGAGCCCCACATCGGGCTCCCGGCTCGGTGGGGAGCCTGCTTCTCCCTCTCCCTCTGCCTGCCTCTCTGCCTACTTGTTCTCTCTATCTCTCTGTCAAATAAATAAATAAAATCTTTTTTAAAAAATGAGAAATTTGAGTATCTCACTTGAACTATATATAAAACAATGTTTTTTTAAAAAACCGTTAGGGACGCCTGGGTGGCTCAGTCGGTTAAGCGCCTGCCTTCGGCTCAGGTCATGATCTGGGGTCCTGGGGTCAAGTCCCGCATCCGCTCCTTGCTCAGTGGGGAGCCTGCTTCTCCCTCTGCCTGCCACTCCCCCTGCTTGTGCTCTCTCTCTGACAAATAAATAAATAAAATCCTTTAAATAAATAAATAAAATAAATAAATAAATAAATAAACCTTTCAAGTCATATTGGGTAAAGTTAGACTTAAAACATTTTTTTAGAGACAGCTTTTGATAAAAATAAGCAAAACCCCATACTGTAGGTATTTCTGGTTATCTCATCCATCGGCAAAAAAGCAAACACTTAAGACTTGATTCATTCATTCAGCACTGGTCTTTATTCATTTCTTGTTATTGGAATTTCATATTTCTTTCTTCCTGTTGGCTGAGTAAACTGGACCGTGGTAGAGATAAGCCAATATTTTCTCAGGTCTGCCTTTCTAAAACTCTAGAGCTTATTTTTAACTAATGGATCAGCTGCTTTTGACTTTGCTAACTTGTGGCTTAAGGTTTTCTGGGTGTCTGCATTAGTAATTGAACTTCTGGAGACCACTGTTAAGATTTGCTGATAATGGGTTTTGAAAACAAAATTTTGATTTTCTTTATCCTCTTTGTTGCTCATGTCTCTAGACTGTCTTTGGAGGTTAATAAGGTCCCTGTGAGATAGGTCTTGTAGTCTACTCCTTCCCAAGGGAAGTTGGAATATTGTAGTAGATGCTTAACAGTAGGAATGTGGTATTGGTCTTGCTTTTGCAACATGATATGCTTTTCCTCATTCTCATTATCACGGTAATTCTGTTGGTAATTGCATGGGGAACCCTTATTTCTCCTCTTCAACCTCAACTACAGCCTTTCCATTTCCTGCTGAAAGTTACTCTTTCTGGTAGTCTAGTGTTTAAGTACATCTTCTTTGGAGTCATTTCCTATTGATGAAATCATATCAATGTCTTATATTAAAATGCTTTATTTTTCCCAAAACCTTTGCTGCAGTCGTCTTGTTCCTGCTAGTGTGTATTGCTGTTTTGAGGCTGTCAGGGTGGTAGGTTTGGGAGACAGTAGCTGCTGGTCTTAGCCTCACTACTCATGTTGTAGAGATGGTGATAAATGTGGGGTTACCAGCAGTGGTAGCTCCTCCTAAATTGTAATGCTCATCAAGGCAGGTCATGGCTCTCTGGGGTCCACTCTTCTGCTACCAATTAAACTCAGTCTTTTTCACATATCCTGTTGCACCTATCTATGAAGATACACTGCCTGGATCTCCCTTTAAGGAACTCAACCACTCTTTCAGCTCCAGGGAGTACATTTAGTTCATAGCCTCTGGGTATTAATACCTTTAGGCTCCTTAGATTTTGTGCTGAGGCCTTGTGTTTCCTGGGAAACCTCCAGCTAGTGACTGAGCATGGTGTGGGTACTAGGGTATTTCCATTTTGGCCCTATGTGGGACAGTTCTAATAGGCAGTCTTTGCTTCGGAGCTCCCTGCTGGGTTGGGCAGCACTTTGTCAGATCTGTGTCAGGGTCTGAGTCTCTGTCTGCTCCGTCCTATTTTATGTCCCCTTTCCTTCATAGGTTTCAGATCTATATCACAGTCTGAAAGTTTTCCATGCCTACTCCTGTTTTACTCCCCCTTTTATCTTTCACAGTAAAACTCTTGTCCTCCTGTCTCAATATCTGCTTCCTGGTGGACCTGACACATACCACTTCTTCTCGTTGTTTACCTAATTTTTTGCCCATATCAAATTGCAGTAAATATTACCTAATTTCCCCCTTTTAAAAGCCTCTCCCTTGATTCCTCCCAGTATTTTCCAGCTTATTTCTTTCTACCCCCAACACCCAATTCTCTAATGTCCACTTATCTCAGTAAGTGCCTTATTATTACAGTAACATTGTTTGTTTTATATACTATGTAGTTGGGGGGTTGTTGGGTTTTTTTTAGATATTTAAAGAGGTATAAACTAAAGGTGAATTATTGATGTCCCTAGGATTTCATTCAGGAAATACATATGAAAATTCCATATGTTCAGCATTTTATTAAATAATATGTAGATGCGGATCTATAACAAATAGTTTCTATCCTTCTTTGATTAATAAGTGGGTGGGTAAGATGAAAACAAATAAGTAAAAAATACACAAATACTTATAAAACTTATTGATCTGCTTCTAGGAATTTGTTCCAAAGAATAATCTGACAAGTGTATAATGACACATGTGCCATAGTATTCATTGTAGTGTTTATAATAGCAAAAAATTGCAGATAACCTAAGTGACTATCAATAGATATGAAGTAAGTTGTAATAAACATAACGGAATATTCTGTAATAATTAAAAATACTTAGTTCTATGGTTATTAACAAGTAACGCCCACAGTCTGTTAAGAGAGGGAAAACAAGTTAATACATTAGATGTAAGGTCCTCTCTCTACAGATGGTAAGTACTAGGTAGCTGCCAGAGAAGGTAAGGTATAGAATAGATCTGGATAGGCAGCATGCAGAAAGACAATATGTTGGATTACATTTTCCAACCTTAGTGGACTTAGAATCCTTTTCCCAATCTTATAAAAATAATGTCTAATTATTGTATAATATATGATAGTGGTTTTTACATAAAATGTTTTATATTAGTTTAAAAAATTGGTTTTGGAATTTTTGTTTTGTACTACAGTCAGGGTCAGCTCATAGTAAGGAAACTTTGTAATGATTAGAACTATATAGTGGTATAAAATTTCGGACATTCTCTGCCATTGTGTAACCATTTTTCATGTTTGTTGAAAATGCACTTTCAGTCTAATCCAGTTTCTTGAGTTCTGGTCTTGACAGCACATTGATTAATGATTACATGGACAAAGTCCATTCCCTAATTGTGTGAGAGTATGGAAATCCCTTGTAAGAAAACTAGGATCATGGTCTTCCAAAAGTTTGTAAGTTATAAAATTGTATTTGACATTGTTTAGGAATACCATAGTTTATGGATTAAAATGTATATTTTATTCCCACTTAGGCCGAATACATCAAGCAATGGTAACGTCTTTAAATGAAGATAATGAAAGTGTAACTGTTGAATGGATAGAAAATGGAGATACAAAAGGCAAAGAGGTATGATCACTGGGTTAAATTTTTTTTTTTTAAAGATTTTATTTATTTATGTGACAGAGACACAGAGAGAGAGGGAACACAAGCAGGGAGAAGCAGGCTTCCCACTGAGCAGGGAGCTTGATGCGAGGCTCCATCCCAGGATGCTGGGATCATGACCCGAGCCGAAGGCAGACACTTAACGACTGAGCCACCCAGGCGCCCCTGGGTTAAAATTTTTTTATTTTTTTTTTAGATTTCATTTTTAAGTAATCTCTACACACAGCATGGGGCTCAAACCCACAGCCCCAAGATCAAGAGACGCATGCTCCACTGACTGAGCTAGGCGCCCCAATCACTGAGCTAAATTTTATTTCTCGTCCTGCAATCAAGGTTCCAAATATAAAACAAAACTGAAAAGTATATACTTTTTTATATAGTACATACATTCTTTATCATTTCTGGAAAACCTTTCAAATGATTAAAACATTTCATTCAAAGAAAGGTAGATTCTTCCTGCACGTTGTAAGTGTTGGGACATATTCTCAAGACCACAAAATGCTGTATTAATAGCTGTCTTAATATGTGGGTTGCAATTGTAGATAATTTTGTTTTCAAGGCCGTACTGTTCATGAGGCTGAAATCATTTAACAGTCATTCTCTGTGTGTAAATTTGTAAAATAAAAGGTTAATTGTCAAAATTTACTCTAAAGATACATGCATTTTTTTAAAAACAGATTGACCTTGAGAGCATCTTTTCACTTAACCCTGACCTTGTACCTGATGAAGAAATTGAACCCAGTCCAGAAACACCTCCACCTCCAACATCTTCAGCCAAAGTAAACAAAATTGTAAAGGTTAGTAAAATTTAGAGTAGGGGTGTGTGGGGGGGGTGTGCGTGTGTATTTTCTGGTTTGAAATGAATAGACTATAAAGAGTATATTTTAAGTATTAGTTTGCTTTTTTTAAAAAAAACCTGTAATTCTTTCTGCCACCTACATGCCATGTTTATGCATACATTCTTTCAAGGATTGAGGTTGTCCAGTTCACAGTTAAAATAATTATTAGGTAAAATCTTAGAAATTCTTTCCTGATTAGGATTTTTCCTAAGACTAATTGCTCCCCAGGAGATAGGGATGTCAAAACCATTTGCTTGTCAGTGTTTGTTGAGGGAATATATGACTTAGATAAAGAAAGAATGTTTATTACTCATAATAAATTCCCACTCCAGTAGTCTTTGAAAATAGTAATTCTGCTATTTATGTTTATTAGAGAAAAATGGGAAATGATAGAGTACAGTTTAACTACTTCTGTATTATCTGTGAAGATAAACTTTAAGACCATGCTATATATCCTCTCTAATGAGATTATCTTTATAAAAATAAAAGCCATGCCATTTTTATTACTTTAAAAGATAATTCCTCTTCCTTCCTATTGAAACCTCTCACTGTTAAAATTGTGTATTAAAGTGCAGCTCTTTTGAAACCATGTAGTCACTCACAGTTGTTGAATCTGCAGTTCTGTGTGTTTAGTTCAACAAGCATTTGTTAATTTTTCTACATTGTTGATTTTATCACAAAGATGAATGACATGACTTTAACCCTAGAGGAACTTGGTATCTTACAGGGAAGACATACATCAGCATCCAAATATCATGTGATAGAAGCTTAACAATATCAGCAAAACATTCTACCTTTTAAATTATGCAGATTTTCAATTCATATAATTCAGCATATTGAGTGTCCCTGCTTAGACGTCATTAGTTATGACTTGTAGATGGATTGTTTTTCATATTTGGCTTCACAGCCATGAAGGATCTTCATAGATGATCCTTCTTCGTATGTCATTTAGAACCTTTGCTGTGCATTAAAATCACTTAGAGAATTTTTCAAAATACTGATGCCTTGCCTGCTCCCAGCAGTTCAGTTTTATTTTCTCTAAATTGAAGCCCTCGCATTAGTATTCTTTTAATTACTATTAAAATCATTATCTGATTTAAATGTGCAAATGTTCTCTCTAGTGTTGAGACCCATGACATTATTTGATACCTTTTTTTCAGGTGAATAAAATGAAGTCTTGGTAAATAAAGGATAGGATCAAAAATTTGCTGTCCTAGTCTATGCAGTTCCAAGTTTTTGAAAGTCTAAAAGTCTTTTAGTATAAATGACAGTGAGCATATCATGGTATTTTGATATTTAAGTTTAATAGTTAGATGGTAGGTTGTCTAAAACCAGTATTTTATTGATTACTCTGACATCCAAAGATGAAATGTAATACATACCTTTGAAATGTATTGCATGGTTTTAGCATGGTGGCTAAAACTATACCCTTAACTGAAATAACTTCTCCTTGCTTCAGTTTTCTCATCTATGGAACCAGAATAATAATAGTAATGACCCTGTAGGGTTGTTGTGAAGATTGAGTGACTTAATATGAGCAGTGCCTGCCTTGTGCTAATTCCGGAATATTGCATTTTCTGGAGAGGTGGTGGGCAGTACTCACATAAAAAACTTGAATACTGATGGTATTAGTAGTAATTATTAGAAGATTATTTATAGTTTTTTTCTCTTTAGTTTTACATTATGTTCACCTACTTTTGTTTAATTAAAGGAAGCCCAAATTATGATAAATATATGAGGAGAAAAGAGAGAAAGTACAATGAGCGTTTTTATTTTTCTCTTACAGAATCGACGGACTGTGGCTTCTATTAAGAATGACCCTCCTCCAAGAGATAACAGAGGTAAACATTTATCTATTAATTTTGTCTATTAACTTTCTAGTATGGCCCCAACAAGGTAAATCAAAGGTGAATATTGCCCTTGACATTATTATTCATTTAAACTTTATGTGGCTAATTTGAAGATTGGTATCTTCTTGGTTTCCTAATACAGTAATGTCAATAATAGGGGCGCCTGGGTGGCTCAGTCAGTTAAGTGTCTGCCTTCGGCCTAGGTCATGATCCGTGGGGTCCTGGGATCGAGTGCCACATTGGGCTCCCTGCTCAGCGGGGAGCCTGCTTCTCCACCTGCTTCTCTATGTGCTTCTCCCTCTCCCTCTGCCCCTTCCCTGACTCACGCTCTCTGTTTCTCTCTCTCTTTCAAATAAATAAATAAAATCTTGAAAAAAGTCAATAATATAAAAAATGATTTATTAAGGTGATGAATATGAAACTCTCTTATATGCAATTTTTGATTAATCTCCTTTACCCAATAACTTTGCAGATTTGAGAAGAGTATCATGAGAAAGAAAGGAATGGGGCAGTAGTCTGTTAATTGAGTTCATAGTAGTAAATCTAATCCCATTTTACATGACTTTCTGGCTAACAGTCTTCCCAAAAGATTCATGGGTAACTTGGGAGTCAGCTAAAGAAAAGTTGAACGGGTACAATTTGTAGTTAATTGCAGGTCTTCCGTGTATTTTCAGCAAGGAAATGTAAAGCACAGTTAATTTCTTTTCTCCTCTTCAGCAATTCAGAATTGTAATTTCTGGTGGTGATGTTTCTCTGTATGTGGGGATTGTGGGGCAGGATGGGCATTAGGTATTAGAAGAGAGATTGGAGGTAGAGGGAAAGTCCTGCACTTTAAACACTATCCTTCCCTTGTGTGTTTGAAACTTTTGAAAATTTATATTGCTTTGTAAAATGTGGTGCTTATATTTTACTTCATATTTATTTTTCCACTTTTATAACATATATATTGGGAAAGTCTCTGCTGAAGATTTGCATCTTTGAGGAGCAAAGAGTGGGATTTGCAATTATAGGGAGGGCTGAAGGAGTGTTTTTTACTTTATGTACTTCAGAATTGTGTAAATTTTTCAAAATGACAATGCATTTAAATTTAAAATTTACATTTTGCACACTTAAATATATATATTTTGGGGGGCCCTTTTAAGATTTATTTATTCATTTTAGAGAGAGGGAGAGCTAGAGCGGGGCAGAGGCAAAGAGAGAGGGGGAGAGAGAGAAAGAATCCTCAAGCAGACTCCTTGCTAAACGCAGAGCTGGATGCAGGGCTTGATTCCAGGACCCTAAGATCATGACCTGAGCCGAAATCAAGACCCAGCCACTCAACTGGCTGAGCCACCCAGACGCCCCTGCACACTTACAATTTTTAAATGATTATTAAAAATCAAGCTTGGCTTTGGTTTTTACATAAATTATTCAGATTGAGTTTTGTAGCTACAATTACATTGGTGGAACCCCAGTCTCTGCACATACTACCTTGAAAACCTCTTGGCTTGTTAGTTTATTGAACAAAATTATTACATATTCTCTTTATACCCACATAAGTAGAAAACTGACAGCTTATAAGTATCAGTTCTTTTGAGATATCTCTGTTCCTTTTACTAGGGTTCACCTTTACTGATTTTCTGTTCTGAATTTAAAAATTTTGTTTCACTTGCAGTGGTTGGTTCTGCACGTGCACGGCCTAGTCAGCTTCCTGAGCAGTCTTCCTCTGCACAACAGAATGGTAGTGTTTCAGATATATCTCCAGTTCAAGCTGCAAAAAAGGAATTTGGACCCCCTTGTATGTAAATCATGTATCAAGGATTCAGTCATTTTAGGCATACATGTATTCTCTCTTGGTCATCCTTAGAAGTCCCCAAATGGTAACAAGTCTAATTATAAGCTTGATTGCAGATTTCATTTTACCACTGTGGAAGATTTTTTTTTGTTAGTTTGGTCTGTTAATTGGGTTTTGAAATGTGTATTTTGGAGAAAATTTACAAATACAAAATTATAACAATTTTTCACTTGCTTTGAATTTAAAATTCTGGTCAGATGATAATTTGACAGATGTTATGGAAGTATTTCTTATACTTCTCAATCCTTTCCAATTCATACATCTGTGATTGTAAACCAAGAGATGACATGTATCAGTATGTTAAAGTCATTTTTCTTGACTGCTATCTGTATATTGTCCTGTTCCTAGTTTTGTTAAAGCAGCTCATAAGTGCACATAGTTGTTAAAGGCATGCCTTGTCACTGTGTACCGTTTTTTGGGTGTATGTGGTGAAATATACATAAAATTTTTGTGTGTAAGTACAGTACTGTAAAAAAGAAAGCTGTACTTCTACAGCTCATCTTTTTCTTTCAGCACGTAGAAAATCTAATTGTGTGAAAGAAGTAGAAAAATTACAAGAAAAACGAGAAAAAAGAAGACTACAGCAGCAAGAACTTAGAGAAAAAAGAGCCCAGGTTTGTAACAGAAACAAATTTTGTTTATGCATGAACTGAAGATGTAGATGGTGTCAGTGAAAGTGATTTGCTTTTGAAAAAGTATTTGAGGCATTCAATTAAAGATTTCAATATAGTTCCTTTAGTTGAAATCTAAACTGATAATGAGAAATAATGTAAACTCTTGTGAAAATACGTTACCGTAACAGATTTTTACTACATGTACTTTTCACGTTTTAGTGGATATGTGTAGCCCTAACATTTGTTCCATTTTTGAATAATAATCCATTGTGTTACAATTCTAACGCAGCCATTACACCTTTCAAGAATAATAAGACTTTGACTTTCTAAAAAGATCTAAAAATATATTCAGAAGAATGTCTAGTTAAAGTAGATGATTATAAAGTAGACGATTATACTACAAATTTTATTACTGTTTTTCCATGGTTAGTAAATTCAGCATATGAATGAAAGGGGAAATTCTTTCTGTTTTAATTTATACTAGATATTAAAAGTGTATCTCTGTTGTGCCTCCCATGTTCCCTTTAGATGGTAACAAAATTTTTTACTAACAATGGAAAAATTATATAGAAGACTGGTCTTCTATCTCTATATAGGTCTTCACCTATTAGAAATTCTGTTTCTGTACATATAATTTCTAGTGTATTATATCTATTGTATTATATCTATTATATTCTTAGAACTTGTTCCTCTATTAAAACGTCAGGATTGTTTCTTTATTTAGAAGTATATTCAAATGCCCTTAATCATAAAGAAGTTGTGTTATAGAATTAGGAACCAGTATAAAATTCAACTTGAATAAATCAGGTTATATCTTAAAGTGTTCTGAGAATGGCCAGTTGGGTTTTGAAATAAGTAAAACACAATACAGATAGATCTGCTGATACTTAGCACAGATGCCACCTGGTGTTTCCTATGGGAACCTCATAATATTTTCATATCTCTTTGTGATCTCTTAATTTTAACTTTACATTCACTTTTTCCATTGACATAGTTGTTGTTGTTTCCTAAAAGAAAGTTAATTGAAAGTAAGTTTCATTAACAATTTTGAAATTTATATTCAAAGCAAATCTGTACATGGTGCATGAAAAAAATCTGACTTCTTAGAATGTTTAATAATTTATTACTCATGGCTAAGAGAGGCTGTTACCTATTGATACGTGTGTCTTAATCTGAATTTTCTCAGTTTTGAAGCAAAAAAGTAAATTGCAGTCAACATTCAGTAATTTGAATTTTAAAGGTTTCAAAAATTATCTTTTGATTCCTTTAAGTCCTGTCCATTTGAGGTGGTTTTACCGTGCCTTAGGTTTTTAGAGAGTCAACCAAAACAGAAAACATAAATGAGTCTGTGTTTCTACTTTGCTGGATTAATCACTGGATTAAGCATGGTGAAGAAAAATCTGATTAAATGAATTTTTGTAGAATTTCAATTTTTCTAGAGCTCTTTACTGATGTTTAAGATGAGCGCTATTTCTCTCTTGCTTCATTTTCTAGGATGATTAAGTCATATGTGTAACAGATGAATTTTTGAAATAATTCAAGGGTGGTTTTTTTTTTTATTAAAGATTTTTATTTATTTATTTAACAGAGATAGAGAGCACAAGTAGGCAGAGTGGCAGACAGAGGGAGAGGGAGAACTAGGCCTCCTGCTGAGCAGGGAGCCCGATGTGGGGCTCAATCCCAGGACTCTGGGATCATGACCTGAGCCGAAGGCAGCCACTTAACCGACTAAGCCACCCAGGCTCCCCTCAAGGGTGGTTTTAATGAGGAGTGTTTGGTTTACAGTTAATAACAGAATGTATGTAGGCTAATAGAATTATGTATTTAATATGAAATATGATTACTGGGCATATTTTTAATCCTGAACTTGGAAACTAAATTTTATGATGCCTCTAGTTTGAGTTTGGGCTTGGCAATGACACAGTCTCCTGATTGATTGATTGATTGATTGATTGATTGATTTTTTAAAAACTTAAAAATAAAACAGACACTCCACAAGCTGTGAATTTAATTTTAATTTGCAAGCCATATTTAATTTGCAACAGGGGCAGCTGGGTGATTCAGACACTTAAGTGTCCGACTCTTGATCTCAGTCAGGATCGTGAGTTTAAGCCTCACATTGGGCTTCATGCTGGGCGTGGAGCCTACTTAAAAAACAAAAACATAAATGCAACAATATCCATTATTGTAATGATAATAAATGATGAATTTTTTCTGTCTCCGTGTAGGATGTTGATGCTACAAACCCAAATTATGAAATTATGTGTATGATCAGAGACTTTAGAGGAAGTTTGGATTATAGACCATTAACAACAGCAGATCCTGTAAGATTCTTTGTAAACTATTGTTGTGGAATTTTTTTATGCTGTTAATAAAAAACAAAACAAAACAAAACATGTTCACTGCCCACTTAATACTGGATTTAGCTATGTAGTGTTTTTTTTTCTTTATAGGTGTACATTCCCCGTGTTTTAAGGTGAAAATCAAGAAATCATTCACATTTATGATTATCTCCCATATTTTGATTTATCAGACATGCTTCCCCACAGAGATGTTCTTTTCAAAGCAAAGCCTCTCTGTCTTTGGTAGAGCAGAACAGCAGTTAAAGGAATGATGTCAGAAGACCCATTCTCCTTTCTGACCATCACTGAAACTTTTATCCCAGTTCCAAGCTTATTTCCTCTTTGATTTGGGCTATAAATTCCCACCATCAGACTAATTTTTTATTAGGTAATTTGTTATTTTTAAATAAATGTTAGTCTGGCTTTTTAACAGTAAGTGATGGTTGTTGAGGACCATACTAGACCAGAAATCTAGTGCTCAAAAAATATTCTGCTTCCCTATTACTCAACTACTTTCCTCTTGAAGAATGAGAATTTTTTGGACAGGGATTATTTTGTGAGTAATTGATACTTAAGAAAAATAATCCATCTGACCTAGCATATACAGAATAGCTTGGGTACATAAAATACATTTGTGTCAGGCTGATGTATTGTTTAGGATTTCAGAGAGTTGTTGTTCATAATACTTGTGTGTATATATTAGTCCTTGCTACACCTACATGTATTTAATCTACTACATCTGATTGGCAAACTTTTTCTTAAAAGGCCCGGATAGTAAATAATTTTGGCTTTGTGAACCATATGGTCTTCATCACAACTACTCAATTTTTCCTTTGTAGTATGAAAGCAGTGATAGGTGATATGTGAACAAATGAGTGCAACTGTCTCATTAAAACTTGACAAAAGCAGGTAGTAGGCTGGATTAGGCCCGCAGACCATATGTTGCCAATCCCTGTGTTATAGATTTATTATTAAAGGGGAAGTATTGGGAGCATAAATTTTATGAAAAAATATTTATGTGTAAGAATTAGCTATTATAAAATTTTTGGAGTTATTTTGCTCACTAATAATCTGAGAATTGCATTTCTTGCTATTCTTAGTTATCTTTGTCAGCACCTTTCCCTTTAATCAACCTGACAGTACACCACTTGGTAGGAAATTTTGCTTTTGTTATATGCAGCATATATTGAAGTAAGGTAGCTTCCTAATGTGAACCTTATGCTACTAATAGGAACAGTAGAGGCCTCTACGAGTTATTTCCTAATTGTTTACCAAATAACAAAATGAGTACTTTTCCATTATGCTCAGAATTTTAGAAATCATTGTCTTTTAACTATTAAAATTTGTACATCCTAATTTGTTTTTTAAGTTTATTTATCCTGTTTATGCAGTGCATAAATTTCTAAAATCTCTGTAGGAAATATTGCATAACTGACTTTTCAGTGTTTTATATAATTGATAAATATTGAAATAAAATATTTTATTTCTAGATTGATGAACATAGGATATGTGTTTGTGTAAGAAAACGACCACTCAATAAAAAAGGTATGATGCTTTTTGAACTCTTAATGAAAGGTTGATTTTGTCCAGTTGGTATTTATTTTCATGATAGCAGAAATTAAATTCATTTGGAAGAGTTAAATATAAATCATTTTATTTGTACATAATCATTATGCAGATTTCTTTGGTTAGATCTGCTGATTTGTTATTACTCTATGAATCATTCCATTTCTGGTTCTTGCTTCACATAAATTTTGATAGTATTTTTTTTTTTACTTGGTTGTTGAAATATGTCTTCTTGAATGGCATATTTATGAGATATTTATATTTATAGAATTAATACTTCTATTAAAATTCTTATTACTTTTTTAGAAAGTACTTATTACATTTAAATGCTGTGAAAATTACTGGGCATTGATTTTCATTTATTCTTTTAGAAACTCAAATGAAAGATCTTGATGTAATCACAATCCCTAGTAAAGATGTTGTGATGGTACATGAACCAAAACAAAAAGTAGATTTAACAAGGTACCTAGAAAACCAAACATTTCGTTTTGATTATGCCTTTGATGACTCAGCTCCTAATGAAATGGTTTACAGGTAGGTAAATTTGTTTTAAATAACAGTTTTGTTCTTATGCTGTATATTTATCACCACCCTGAAGCTTGCATTGATCTTGGCATATCTCTCCAAAGTGGCAATATGCTTTTTTATTCTGAGTTTAAACAAAGGTTATGGTATAAACACAATAATGAGTATTACTACCTGTTCCCTTTAATGCTTCCCCAAAATCATAGTTTTTATTACTAATATATACATATCTCATACATTTTATTTATATATGGATAGGAAATTTCTGGAAAATGTAGGCGTTTTCTGTAGTTCTAGGAATTTGATGTGGTGAGAAGGGGACTTTACTTTTTGCTTTTTAATTTCTGTTTTAGTAAAGAAATTTGGAATATTTGTTATGTCCATAAGTTTTCTAAACCTTTATTTCACATGTTACCACCATTTAAGGAAAAAAGGTCTGTAAACCTACTTGCATTTGCCGAATTTTTATCATCTTTGAGCATTGGAATAGTTGTAATACATGAAATTCTATATGTTCACTTATTCAACTTATAAACAACTCAAACTTACAAGTATTACACATTGATATCCCAAAGTTGAATGCCAAATTTAGATTTTCATACATAGTTTGTAAACATTGCCTTCTAATTATAACAGGTCAGTTTTAACAGCAGTGCTATTTTAGTCTATATAGGACTGTCTTGGCAATTACTTGAATGCTTTTTCATTGCCTTTTCATTTTATAAATATGGCTGGAAAACAGAAAATTAAAGACTTAATAAGAGTCCTAAGAATTGAAGACTTATTAATGAAATATTATTGAGGTCAGCTCCATTGGGCTTAAGCCAGTAAACTGGGAGTTCAGTTGTAAAGAAAGAGAAAATTAAAGAAAGTGTGAACGCTAAATGGTATTATGAAGAATTTGTTTTAAAAGGGAACTATTAATATAAATTGTGCATTTTTTACCTGAGAATAGAGTCCTCTTCTTACCCCTACTTGCTATTCCCTTCTCTACTTCCACTCCTGCTTCATAAAATATGTCTGACTTTATAATTATAAGGTATGTTTCTCTGAATATGCTAGATTTAGTAAACATTCTGTTTTACTTTATATATATGCTTCTTAACTTTACCAATATTGGTGCTATCCCCTTTATTTAGCTTTGAGGGAATTTGAGGTAGGCCTTTTTTTGTCTAATCACTCTGCAGACTCCTTCTCTACTTCCATTTGACTACTTTTTCCTGCTCCTTTTGTTCTGTACCTTTTTCAGTTGTTCCTTTAAAAAAATTGAGCAGAACTGTATAAAATGTTCCGCATACATTATTTTGAAGCCTGTATAAAAAAAAGATTTGTTTCCACAAACTGAGGGTTGCTGGAGTGGTGGGGGCTGGGAGAGATGGGGTGGCTGGGTGATAGACATTGGGGAGGATATGTGCTATGGTGAACGCTGTGAATCGTGTAAGACTGATGAATCACAGACCTGTACCTCTGAAACAAATAATACATTATATGTTAAAAAATAAGAAGAAGATAGTAGGAAGGGAAAAATGAAGGGGGAGAAATCGGAGGGGAGGACGAACCATGAGAGACAATGGACTCTGAGAAACAAACTGAGGGTTTTAGAGGGGAGGGGGTGGGGGGATGGGTTAGCCTGGTGATGGGTATTAAAGAGGGCTCGTTTTGCACAGAGCGCTGGGTGTTATACGCAAACAATGAATCATGGAACACTACATCAAAAACTAATGATGTAATATATGGTGACTGACATAACATAATAAAATTTAAAAATTAAAAAAAAAAAATTGTTTCCCATTACAGTTTTTAGAGCTCTGCCCAGTGAAGTATTTCTTATCCCTTTTTTAATTTTAACTCTAGCAGTGATTACAATAATAGGTTTAAAAAATAATTCAAGCCATAATAATTTTGCATCCTTCTCCTGAACTAAGACTATCAACTCCAAACTCAGTGTCTTATAAGTATAATCTATATTTACTTAGCTATATTCAAGGAAATCCTGTCACTTTTCTACTTGGGTAGATGGCCTTAAGATAATATTTTTATAGTTTTTTTTTTCTCTATTGAGATTATCACTCTTTTGATTAGATTTCTGTTAAAACTTTTAATCCTGGTGGTGTGGGTTTTTTGGTTGGTTGGTTGGTTTTTTGCTCTTCATTGTATAAACCTTACTTGTCTTGCCTAATATGATTTTTTGTTGTTGTTTTTTAAAACTTTCACATTGTCTTCTATATACACATGTCTTAGCTCAGTTACTTCCTTTTTCTTGGTCCATTGTGACCGTCGTTTATTATGGAATTACTTGAAATTATGCTTTAAATAGCTTTAAGCAATTTTAGGATAAGATTTAAAAATTTTAACAAATCAGTGGGCTCAGTTGTAGTCTGACAGTTGAGCCCATTGATTTGTTAAAAATATTGGTATGAGTTTTGTTTATTAATAAGACTTGGTATTTTATTTACTTAATTTAAATATTGATGGCACATTCTGACTAGTGCATTCTAATTTTAAGGTTTACAGCTAGACCACTAGTGGAAACTATATTTGAAAGGGGAATGGCAACATGCTTTGCTTATGGGCAGACTGGAAGTGGAAAAACTCATGTGAGTAATTCATTAGTTACATCCTCCTATGCAGCTTGTTTATTTTCCTTATGGCTTAATTCTAAGACCTAAATTCTTAAGATTTATTCCTGAATAATATCTATTATTATTTCTTCTTTAACATGTAGACTATGGGAGGTGACTTTTCAGGAAAGAACCAAGATTGTTCTAAAGGAATTTATGCATTAGCAGGTAACCGTCTTTTTTGCATATCATTTGTAATATTCTTGAATATTACTCAGGTGGCTTTGAAATAAAACTTGGAAATATTGTTCAGGACTTTCAGGGTAACCATAAAGTTAAATTTGTATGTTATGTCAATTTTAGGTTGTTAGACCACTTGAAAAGAACTGAGATTAAGCTTTTGGGACAGGAATCTTGGTTATATTTGTGTCATTTTAATCTGGCATATTATTGGAGCTTAGTATTTGTTGTTGAAGCTTATTAGTATTTGTTGTTGAATAGCTGATGTGTGAAAAGCTTCTGTTTGGTGTGGTTATGGGAATAACCTTGCTATGACCACCTATAATTTTATGTTATTTATAAGAATAAGTAGTAGCATTCTTTTACTGAATATGAAAGAGAGTGGCATCTGTACTTAAGTGTAAAAAACTATTACTTTTTTTTTTGTAAAAAATATCTAAAGATAGTATTTGCAGGGTGCCTGGGTAGCTCAGTCAGTTAAGCATCTGCTCATTCGTGATCTCAGGGTCCTGGGATTGAGCCCCGCATCAGGCTCCCTGCTCAGCAGGAAGTCTGCTTCTCCCTCTCCTTCTGCCCCTCTCCCCTGTTCATGCTCTCTCTCTCTCTCTCTCTCCCTCTCTCTCTCAAATTAAATAAAATATATTTTTTTAAAAAAAGATAGTATTTATAAAGTCTTAACACATTTTCTCCATATGAAATTCTTGACAGCTCGAGATGTCTTTTTAATGTTAAAGAAGCCAAACTATAAGAAGTTAGAACTTCAAGTATATGCAACCTTTTTTGAAATTTATAGTGGAAAGGTAAGTGGAAACTTTAAAAAAAAAAAAACACCCTGATTTTTTGGGAGAGAGTGTTAAATTGTGGTTTAATATATGTATAACATAAAATTTAATACTTCACCCATTTTTTTGTGTACAAGTTCACTGGCATTAACTACATTCATATTGTGCAGCCATTGCACCACATATTTTTATATGTGTTAGAATATTCTAAATATATATGTGTTAGAATAATAATATACTAAAATATTAGTATTTTGTTGAGATTTTAAAAAATTCCCTTTGAAAGTCTCAGCTTCAGTATTGAGCATTATTATTCTAATTTTCTGAAATAATTTTTGGACTCCGATTCATTTTTATAGAACTGAGTCTTTTCCTTTAAAGCTAGTTTTCTAATTTTTTTTTTTTTAAATAGGTGTTTGACTTGCTAAACAGGAAAACAAAATTAAGAGTGCTAGAAGATGGGAAACAGCAGGTTCAAGTGGTGGGATTACAGGAACGGGAGGTCAAATGTGTTGAAGATGTACTGAAACTCATTGACATAGGTAACAGTTGCAGGTAAATTTCATTTTAACTAAGAAAGAGAAAATTAATTTCTTAATCAGTTTTAGATAATTTGGGTATCTAAACAAAGCAAAGGTGTTACTTAATGCATCCTGGTAGTAAAAATTTGTTCATAAAAACATTTACTGTTACATGTAACTTTGAGTGATATCTACCATATTGATAATCATACTACAAATATACTAGAAGTATGCCAGATTAAAGTGTATGAATCTGGCTATGTTGAAGTGTTTTAAGTTAGATTGTCCCTTTTGTATTTAAATGATGGAAGCTGGATAGTTTTTTGTGGGTTCTTTGATGAAATACTGTGGTTTACAACATATAAAAACTGAAGTTTTTTTGGTATCTAAAATAACCTTAATCACATTGTAGAACATCCGGTCAAACATCTGCAAATGCACATTCATCTCGGAGCCATGCAGTGTTTCAGATTATTCTTAGAAGGAAAGGAAAACTACATGGCAAATTTTCTCTCATTGATTTGGCTGGAAATGAACGAGGAGCTGATACTTCCAGTGCAGACAGGCAAACCAGGCTTGAAGGTGCTGAAATTAATAAAAGCCTTTTAGCACTCAAGGTAAATAACATGGATTTAATTGTGAAAAATCTTTTGCTTTTGACTTTAATTTTGTTTAGAGTAGCTACAAAAATGTAGTACATATAACATTTAGTGAGGAAGAGAGGTTATCCGAATTTATTTATGTTTACAGTTATTGATTTATATTATACCCAGGAACTTTCTTCACACATACTCATTTTTTTTAGAGTGAATAAGGGATCTAAGATTCCACAGGGTTTTAATTAGTCATATTATCTTAGAGGAAGGCAAGGAACCACAAAACTCAGCTAAGAAATACTGTCTCAGAAAAATGTAGAATGACGAATATTCTATCCCTTCCTTGAATAGAAAAAGAAGGATTGGGGGTGCCTGGGTGGCTCAGTTGGTTAAGCGTATGCCTTCAGCTCAGGTCATGATCTTGGGGGTCCTGGGATCGGGTCCTGGGATGGAGTCCCGCATCAGGCTCCCTGCTCGGGGGGAGTCTGCTTCTCCCTCTCTCCCCACCTTGCTTGTGCTCTCTCCCTCTCTCTCTCTCAAATAAGTAAATAAAATGTTTAAAAAAAAAAAAAGAAAGGAAGGATTGGTAAGACTACAAGAAAACATTCTGTGTTTTTTCTTTTGTCATGCCACTTTCAAAGTTTAGCTTTATATCCTTCTATCTGTTACTTCTAAATGTTAGTCAGAAGAATCTTTTGGAATAATAAGTACTTTGTTGTTGTTGTTGTTACTGTTTTTAATTTCATTTTCTTAGGCTTTATGAGACCATCTTTAGTATGCTCTAAACCTGTTAGTAGGATTTCCAGAGCCAATCAGATCTTAAATGTTAGAGTTATAATGAAAGGTCTTTTAAGTATATTAATTAAGATTACTCTATATAAGGAGCCTAATCTGTGAAACTTGCTTTCTTAATTTTCAGGAGTGCATCAGAGCCTTAGGTAGAAATAAACCTCATACTCCTTTCAGAGCAAGTAAGCTCACTCAGGTGTTAAGAGATTCATTCATAGGTGAAAATTCTCGTACCTGCATGGTAAGTTTATGTTTGTTTATTTGTTTTGTTTTAACCCTGAATAATGAATAACTCACAATATCTATGGAAAAATTATAATGCACATTAATAACAATCATTTAAATCCTTCTATTGTGAGAGATACAGTGATACTTAAGATGTGGTCCCTGCCAGTCTGATAGAGAGGATTATATTGCAGTTATAATGCATTCTACTAATTCCAACATCTGAGTCTTCTTGAGGTTGGTCTTCATTGATTTTTATTTTCCTTGAGTATGGTTCACACTTTTCTTTTTCTTAGTATGTCTAGTAAAATTGGTTTATATAATTTTTATTATGAATAAATACTTATACAGACACTCTGGATTCTCTTATATTCTAAAGATTATTGATTTTTTGTTGTTTTAGCAAGAAGTGAACTTAATTTATCTCAAACTCTTGTCTCCCTTGCTTTGGGCAGCAGCTGAAATTGAAAACAAACAGTTCTTTTAGACTTAGTTATGTTACTTGGAGTAGGCCTTATGTATGCCCGGTTCAGGAGTCAGCCAGAGATTTGGGCAGTTTATATGTACAATTTTTGGTTGCCAAGATTACCTCCCTCCATGATTATCTTTTCTGGGACAAACCTTACTTTCTAGCTGCTTTAGTTTCTACCTTCAAATTCTGTCCTTTAGTTTAACCAGTGAAATTCCAGTTTTCTAATGAAGTTTTATTTGCCCCGTGTGACAGCAGCGGGGCTTGCCCTTAAGCAAAAACACTGTTGGGTGGTGAGGGGGTTGTGGGAACACTCAGTGCTATTCCCTCCTAGGTGTTGACCTCCATTTTCTGTGTGATTTAAATCATTTTCTGGTGCTTTCAGAGAGTTATTTATATTTTATGTGGCTTATAGTTATTATCTGATTGTGGGGGTGATATAGCAAATTATCTTGGAGTTTAGATATCACAAATAAATGTTAATTTTAAATAACCATTTTAGGATTAGATCTTAATGAGCAATATGTTGATAAGACTGTCTTCATCATTTATAACATTTTCTTTACCTTTGCATTTTTCTCCCTTAGATTGCCACAATCTCTCCAGGAATGGCATCCTGTGAAAATACTCTTAATACATTAAGATATGCAAATAGGTATGCAAAATAGTTATTTGGTTTTAAATTTGAGGGGAGTAGAGCAGTATTTACTTTGACTTAATACCTGATAGGATGACTTTTATTATTTTTTTTCAATTTTAAAAAATTTTTTGCATGTTACTCATTAAGGTGATGTGTAGAGTCATTTGGTCAAGTTCTGAAAATAAATGGAAATGTGTTGGGTAATTTGGAAAGAGATTTAGATCTTTAGTAGAATTGGTCTTTCTATCCTAGAACATGATTACATTTTTCTGTTTCACCAAGTTATATTTCATGTTTTTTTACTGCGTTTAAATCATGTAAATTTTTCCTATTATATTAAGAGTCTAAGTGAGTATAAGGGGACCAGTCTATATTTCTTAAATTGTTTTATGTATTTGCTAAAAATTATTTCTGATAATACTAAATACCATGTGTAGGAAATCTAGGGTCTGAATAAGTAATGATAGCACATTTTTTTCTGGTGTTCTATGAGTTAATTTTATTATTCATTGTCACTAGTGTTATAGAATTTAATGGACATGATGTTATTAAAAATGAAAGGACAAAAGCATTATAGACTTAAAATAATTTATTCCTTATAGTAATGAAATGCCCTTGGAACTTTGGATTGTGATAGACAGATTTATATTTGTTCCATAAATTGATCCTGTTGCTCTTGTTTTGAAAATTGACTTTGTAGTTTTCAGTTTCTCTTATCACATATTGCATTTGTGATTTTAATTGTTAGAGATCAGATTCCTCTTTGTATAACATTTCTACTATGGACATTCCCTTAATTTTGCTGAATACAAGTATTTGTCCTATTTATTTTAATTGCTATGGAAATTCTATTTTTAATCTTTTTTTATAAAACAGGAATACATATGTATACAGAGAAGTACTGAAAACATAAGTGAATAATCTAATAAATATTTATATAGTGTAAATTCCTATTATCAGATTGGGAAATAGAACATTTCTACCTCTCTAGAAAGCTCCCCATATGTCCCCTCCTGATTACAAATCCTGAATAACATGTCCAAATCCATTAATCTGTCCCCCAGGGTAGACATTGCTTTGACTTCTGTGGCATAATTTTCTTGGTATTCTCCTTCTTTTTAAAAATAGTTTTACCACCTATGAATGTATCCTTGAACAACATAGGTGGCTGTATTTGAACTTTATATAAATAGGGTCATACTCTTTTTTTTCTTTTGTGATTTGATTTTGTTTCAACTGAAGAGATTTTTTAAAATGATAGTAAAAACTGTTGGAAAGTATAAGCCTATTGACATTTTACAAAAAGATATTAAAATAACTTCTTTAAAAATATAATGGAACTTTATTTCTAAATTTAATCCTTTTTAAACTTTGAATTATGGGCTCTGAGCTGCAAACATTTATGGTACTTTTAATTCATTTTTATAATGAACATTTTTGGTATGTGGGGTTTTTATCATTAAAGTGCTTCTTTAAATTGTTCATGGGAGAGTTGAGCAACAGCCTAGTATAGCAGAATATTGCCATGTTATAGAATTAAAACAGACAAGACCCCTCCATGTCTTCAGACTTCTAACTGCAAAGGAATCTCCCTAATTTGAAAATGCTATATCTGGCCATTCCTCTAGTTTATTTAGGTCCAAGTAAATGTTTTAATTTATTATCATGTAATGTAGTTCATCTGCAACATCACTAACCATCTGGGACAAATAATTCTGTCTTTTCTTTCCAAATCTCTAGGAATAAAGATTTTCAACCTCCCTTGATAGCTCATTTGAGGAATATAATTCCTGCATATAGTATTTACTGTTTGAGTTGGACAAAAGCCCTTGGAATAGAGGAAAATATTAGCTTATTAGGGGCGGATAGGTTATCTAAATTAGGAGATTCTGATAGAATCCTAAATGGAGTTGGGAATAAAAAGAATCACGTTAGTGTTAGAAATTTAGATTTTGTCAGTCTGTATGGTAAATAAGCTTTCCAAAGTGACTATTTATAGGATGAAGGGCAGCTGAATCTAGGATTGAACCTGGGACAGCAGGCATTACGAGTAGGTCAAAGAAAGAGTGTAAGTAGAAGAAATAAATTAGTTTGATCTACATGAAATTATTAGTTTGATCTATATGACTATCTATAACCCAACGAAACAGTAATTTCATTTAGATCAAATCTAAAAGAAGTCGTGAGAAAAAGATGGTCAGTATATTGGATGCTTAAGTAACATAATGTTTGTACTCAAAGCTAGGTTTGAACCTCACACCACATTCTCACTGAATGACATTGGGTAAGATTCTTTATTGCTCTGAACCAATTTCTCATCTGTAAAGTGGCAAAAAATAATACCACAGGATTGTTGTAAGATTTATATAATATAATGCCTAAAATTTACAATCATAATACCTAACATGTAGGAAGTACATAATAAATACAGCTTACTGTTATGAAATGGGATGACCCCAAGAGGAACGTAGGGAATCACAGAGATGGTGTCAGAAAAGCCATAGTTTGGTTAAATATAAATATCAGAGACATTACCAAAAGCAATTTAAATTTCATTGCTAAAGAGGCTTTTCTTAACCAGGGTTCTTCATCTGAACCAAACACAGAAAACTATTTGAAGAACTGCTTTCTCATTTTGTACTGTGGATGGAACCATCCTAGACGCATAGGAAAGAAGTTAATTCATTACAAACAGTGGATGCCAGAAGGACTTAATACTTTCGTGTTCTGTTTTAAAAGATTGCAAGAGTATTGAGGGCTCACTGATGCTAATAAAATATTTGCAGTATTGACTGCACAAGGAAATTTGATTAATCATCATGTAGCTGTAAAGAAGGGGCATTTAAAATTTAGGTGATGGTCTGGTTAAACTTCTAGGAAGGATCATGAGAAAAGGGGAAAGTATACCAGAAAGGAAGGACTATGGACTAAGGAATCGATAGGACAGAAAAATTCGAAAACTTCTTAAAATTAATTATTTTTAAAGCACTCTAAATACACTAAGTCACAACAATGTTGATACCTTTTTTAAAAAAAAATTTAAACTGAATATGAAATAAAAACTTGAAATGTGCATTGCTGTCTTTACAAGAGCATTTTCTCTTAATTTGTTGCTGTTTTGGTGCTGCAGAGTAAAGGAGTTTGGAATTAGTCCATCAGACATTCCCTTCTCACAGGGTAGTGGCAGTCGCCCTGATCTCTCTCCTTCTTATGAGTATGACGACTTTTCTCCTTCGATTACCAGGTCTACTTTCTTCTATGCATAAGATGTTTATTTTCATAGTTTCTTTTGAATTGTGTTACATATAAATATTTCATTTATACTTTTGTTCTGAGCCATTTTATTTTTCATTTTCATTTCATTTGGCAGGTGATGATTGTACTGCATGATCTTCATTTTTGTGTACTTTATTAATTTATTTGCTTTAAAATGTTGATTTAGAATTCAAGCTTCCTGTTTCCCCTCATATTTTTAAGGATGATGTCATCTTTGCATATTTATGGTTGAAAGGTAAACGGTCTTGTTTAAAATGAGAAGTTTACCGTTATTCTGTATGTTCTTACAAATTTCCTTGTCTGCAAGGAAATAACAAAGATCCTCTTGATTTAGAACATGTACCCTCCCACTGTGTAAACTGAAGTATAATAGTTAAACATTTTTTAAATGATAGAACTTTGTAACTTATAATCTTCATACATTAGAAATATGATTATTTCACATGTAGCTATTTTAATAGAGCATTATAACAACTAAAAATCTACAAAGTATATTAAGTTCTCTGATTTTGGCAATAATCATTTATTGATCTAACTGCTGTTGTTATCATTTTTCTGTTTATATAATTTAATTGCAAAAACAGTTTTACTTTGAAATACTGAATCTATGTACTTTTGCTAATTGTTATTATGCACAATAATTATCTTTGAAATAATTATACAGTTACCTCAGTAAATTCTGAAAGTTCAACAGCCAAATATCCCTTTAGTCTTTACACAGATTTCAGGTAAACTTGATCTGGAAAGCTGACATCATCAGTCTTAATATGTTAATTGAATTGCCTTTTTATTAAATAGGATGGTAGTTTCTTGTTCCTCTGCATGTGTGTTTGTTAATTTTAGGTACCTCTTATGTATTTATAGGGTGAAAGAATTGACTGTGGATCCAACTGCTGCTGGTGATGTCCGTCCAATAATGCACCATCCACCAAATCAAATTGATGACTTAGAGGCACAGTGGGGTGTGGGGAGTTCCCCTCAGAGAGATGATCTGAAACTTCTTTGTGAACAAAACGTGAGTGACAATATAGTTATAATGACCTGATTTTAGTTCATTTCATCAGTAGCAGAACTTAATGATTGAAAACTACCATCTACATCAGGGGTCAGCCAACCACAGCCTATGAGCCAGCCATCTGTTTTTACACTGATTTTCTAAAAGGGAACTTGGGGTTCCTGGTTTAAAAGAAGAGTTCTAAACTTTGAACCGTGGAAAATAAAAAACTGAAAATGAGATCCTGGCCTTAGTCTATCTCTTATCCAAAAGTTTTAAAGGGTGGTATAGTTGCTTTTTGAATTCTTGAAACAAACCATGCACTGTACCTAGGTATGGTGCCTCTTAAGGATTTGGAAAACGAAAAAAAGATAGGCCCCCTCTATAGCAGATCTTTTCCGTTTTATTCTTCTATCTGCCAGGTTGGGTCTTTGTAGGACTTTAATTTGGAGAGGTTGGCTAGGACCGGTGCAGAAACTTAAAGTGTAACATCATGAGTTCTTGCAGCCTCCTCCATATTTGAGAGTGTGTGGGTTTCTCTGAATTTTTCTACTCCCAGGAACTATCTTGAGGTGGTTCAGCCTTAGCTTTTAGTTAAGTTTACTGGTGCATGTATACCTTTTCTTATTGTTATATTAAAGTCTTAACAAGGTAAATTAAAATGGGTTAGTGTCTAAGACATGTCCTACAGATAAAACCAACACAAGTACACAAAGTAGAAGATAATAAAGAATGTTAGCATTCCAGAACTAGTTGTATAGACAAAAAAAGTATTCTAAGTAGACCACACGGAAGTGATAGGAACTTGCATAATATCTTAAAGCAAAGGAAAGAGGACATTCTGGGTTTGACAGGGAGGTGGGCAGATAAAATGAATAAAGTTGGTTGAGTGTGTTTATCGTATGATATATTGTATGCCTGCATGTCTTAAGAAAAACAGATGCTTGTTTCCCAAAGAGAAGATAAAAAGTTCTTTGGCCAACTTGATTATATATATAATCTTTTAGGGATGGTAGCATACTGATTGAAGTCAAATGTCTACTTATACTATTTAACCAAAATTTGTACATATATATAGAATTGTGTATCTTGTTTGAAAAAAATTGCTTTTTCTACTCACATTTTATAAATCAATTTTAAGTAAACCTCATCTTAACTAAAGCCACATTTTGAGGAAATAAATCATTAGACGTTGGGGTTGGGAAAGAAGCTCAAAAAAGAAAGCAAGGCTAGAGAAATTTTCACTTGATGTAGGACTAAGAATATGTTGTATTTATGTCTATGGGTTTTTTGTTGATGAGGTAAAGTTGTCAATTGTCAATTAAGATTTCTGTAAAAACTGGCAAACATATTGTCTGGTGTAATTCAGAAATTAAGATTTAGTAAGAGTTGACACCTTCAGAACACTAATTTGATAGTCACAGTCATAAAAGACATTATCTTGAAATCTCTTTTCTGATAAAAGATATTTAAGACATACATATGGCTTAAATTATTAGTGAAAAGTAGGGCGCCTGGGTGGCTCAGTTGGTTAAGCGACTGCCTTCGGCTCAGATCATGATCCTGGAGTTCCTGGATCGAGTCCCGCATTGGGCTCCCTGCTCGGCAGGTAGTCTGCTTCTCCCTCTGACCCTCCCCCCTCTCATGTGCTCTCTCTCAAATAAATAAATAAAATCTTTAAAAAAAAAAAAAAGTAAACAATACTGAGGAAATATTTTAGCATATTTACAGCCTGTATTAAATGTATTTTGGGGGGCACCTGGGTGGCTCAGTTGGTTAAGCGACTGCCTTCGGCTCAGGTCATGATCCCGGAGTCCCGGGATCGAGTCCCGCATCAGGCTCCCTGCTCAGCGAGGAGCCTGCTTCTCCCTCTGACCCTCCCCCACTCATGTACTCTCTCTCTCTCTCTCTCTCATTCTCGCTCTCTCAAAATAAATAAATAAATCTTTAAAAAAAAATGTATTTTTGAAAAGTTGCATTATTCCAAAAGAGATTGCCTTTTTAGGGTAATTCTGCAATAAAGCCTGGACTAAGTGAAAACTACTCCTCACTGATACGCTTTAATTTGGGCTGTCTTATTGAGTGTTACATCAAATACTTTTGACCCATAAAAAGAAGTTGTGGCTTCGCCTTTTATATTATATTTTAGTAGTCTTTATCTTGCAAACTTCCTCATTTTCTAAATGACATTTTTATAAATGATGTGGAAAAACTACTTTTATGTAACATTTAAAATGTAAACTTTATGTCCTAATTTTTTTAACTATGCTCATCTTAAGGAAGAAGAAGTTTCTCCCCAATTGTTTACTTTTCATGAAGCTGTCTCACAAATGGTAGAAATGGAAGAACAAGTTGTAGAAGATCACAGGGCAGTGTTCCAGGTAAAGTAAGACAGGACCTTTCATCAAAATATTTCTGTTAGAAAATGAAGAACTTTCATAATACTTTGAATATTATTCTAATGTAAAAAATTACCATTGTGCATGTATTGTATATATGTGTTTGTAGGGTAGGGTATGTATATGGGATATTTTGAACAGAAAATGAATGGTGGTTACAAACAATGTTTTTTTGTGCTATGATGAAAAGATCTAGTTTATTTACTACTGTTCTGCTTTATTTGCTTTCATTAGTTGTCCATTTTTAGAGAAGGGTTGAACTTCTGCCCTCCACCACCTCTTTCTCCATGTTAGGCCAGTTTATTTGACATCAGTAAGAAAAACTTCAAGGCGTTATCAGAACAGTTGAGGAAGTATCTTCCTTTGCAGAGGTGGAAGATTACTTTAGGAAAGGGAAGGTTATTACAGTGACAGATGAGTGAGGGGTGTTAAATCCCTGCCTGTTGCAGTAACTCGTGACGTACTCATCCCATTGTACGTTCAGCCTATTAAAAGCATTGTATGATTTACTGTATGATTGCCTTCCCCTACCCCTCACCTACTCCCTTTCTAACAAAATATCCTGGAGAGTGATACTTACGAGGAAGTGAAGGTAACATTTAGACATCATTATGGAGACTAAATATGTTCTGAGAAAAAGGTGAACAATAGCTCACTCTTTCTGTTGACCTGTGTGCCTTCTCTGATGTTTGAGAAATATTTATTTGTAAACAAATATTAATGTGACTCAGCTGTAGGCCATTTAAACACCTGGATAAAAGGCTCAAAAATTTAAGAGAACTATTTATTTTATAAGTTGAGAATAGGATATACCCTCATTAAAACTGTTACAGTTTTGGGATGCCTGGGTGGCTCAGTTGGTTAAGCGTCTGCCTTCAGCTCAGGTCATGATCTCAGGGTTCTGGGATCAAGTCCCGCATCGGGTACCTTGCTCAGTGGGGAGCCTGCTTCTCCCTCTGCCTGCTGCTCCCCCTGCTTGTTCTCTTTCTATCGCTCTGACAAATAAATAAATAAATAAAATCTTTTTTTAAAAAAAAAAGGAAAACTGTTACAGTTTTAATCAAACCCTTATTATGAGAATCTATTTAGAGGCCTGGGTGTTTAGATTAAATCAAGAAAGGACACTTGTAATTTAAGTTGTCTTAAATTGTCTCTGTCCTTTCGGAGCAAGGTGCTAGTCATACAAAGACCATCATTTCCCACTCTGCCATTTTATGATGAAATCTAAAAGGTCTTTGTTTTTTGTCAGAACTGGTTATTTTTCAGTTTCAATCCAGTATTCTTTTTATAATTTGATTTATTGTTCCTATGTACTGTGACTTGCCATTTCTCAAAATAGGGCTTTGTTTTAAAAGATTAAGTGGAGGGGCGCCTGGGTGGCTCAGCCGTTGAGCGTCTGCCTTCAGCTCAGGTCATGATCCCAGGGTCCTGGGATCGAGCCCCGCATCGGGCTCCCTGCTCCGCAGGAAGCCTGCTTCTCCCTCTCCCACTCCCCCTGCTTGTGTTCCCTCTCTCGCTGTGTCTCTCTCTGTCAAATAAATAAATAAAATCTTTAAAAAAAAAAAAAAAGATTAAGTGGATAGCTAAAGAAAAAAAATACTGGGGTGTGTGTATGTATTTTAATTGATACATATATGTACGTAATTTTATAATAGATATCTGTAGCTAAGTTGCTAATTCAGCCTGATTATACATAGTATAGTTATAATTAGTTGGGGCGCCTGGGTGGCTCAGTTGGTTAAGCGTCTGCCTTCAAAGCTCAGGTCATGGTCCCAGGGTCCTGGGATTGAGCTCCACATTGGGCTCTCTGCTCAGCAGGGAGTCGGCTTCTCCCTTTCCCTCTGCCCCCCAACTCATGTTCTCTACCTCAAATAAATAAAATTTAAAAAAAATAATAATTAGCTATTAAATTGCATTGAAAGCTAGAAAGACCTAACCAAAACCTCTTTAATTCAGAATGATCAGAACTTGTTCATGATCTGTATGATTCATGACATTGCTAGGAAATGACACTTATAAATTCCACATTATCTGAAATCACTTAAGAATGAATGGTTTCCTTTAAAACATTTATGAATAGTAAGTAGCTACTATTTAGTGATTTGTTTGACTCTTCTAAAATTGACTATCCATCGGTCTCTTACAGTTAAAATAATTTTGAAGACCTAGTGTTTAGAATTTGGGGTTAACTTTTGGTCCAACTACTGTGAGGCCCCAAATGGATTTGTAAATTCTACATGATTTGCAAGTTCTGGGCTACCATAGACCTCAATAGGTTGCTCAGTAAGCTTTATTATACCATTCTTCCCCAATTTTAGGGGTAGCTACTTAAGTTTTGAGAATTATTGTGCTCACTGATTGATAACATGTTTGATTCATTGCCTTCCCCAAGCCCTTACCCAGGGTAAAGGAAAAGTAGAAAAATGAAGTTACCTTGCTTGTCTTATCATATTTGTGTTTATGTTAGAATTTAAGGAAATATTTCTTAATTTTACTTTGTAAATAAAGATGTTTTATACTTATTAATATTTTAGAGAATACCATCTTAAGTATGCTTGAATATATTTAACATACATGAAATTTGTAAATTGGTTTCTTACAAAGAGGCTTATTGGATTGTTGAATTTTTGTCCTTTTAGGAATCTATTCGATGGTTAGAAGATGAAAAGGCTCTCCTAGAGATGACTGAAGAAGTAGACTATGATGTAGATTCATATGCTACTCAACTTGAAGCTATTCTTGAGCAAAAAATAGACATTTTAACTGAGCTGCGGGGTAATTCCTTTTTCATTTTAGTGCTTGAAATCTTCATCTTCATATGTAATTGGTGGCAGGATTTCATACTGCAAGAGGATATCCGAAATAAAATTATGGGCACCATTTAATACATTTCCAGAAGTATAAAGACAGACCAGTCATTCTGTTTTTTGTAAAAAAGAAACATGGAGTATCCTTTCAAGTGCTCTTTAGTTGTCTTTTTCTTTTAGGCATTTGAAAAGATAAAAGCATCTTATGATTAAAGAGGGAAAATGGATTTTAACAGATCTGTAAGTTTTATACACTCATTCAGATTTTTAGTTTGATAGGTCAGTGCTTGTCAGAATTATTTTGCTTAGATTAGGTCTATTCAGGACCATGCCTTCTGTAGCCTCCTATCTACACCTGTGTCATGTCTTTCCTTTGAAGACTTGTTTTAAAAAATCAAGGGGAAGGTTTCAAGACCTTGAACAACTCAAGACCTTTCAACAATTATTCTTCCTACTTTGCGAATGGAGGGAAGCATGTGACTTACCCACATGCCATGTCTTTTTGGCTTTTTAAGTAGCTTATCTGTGTAGCTTCACATTCACATTTATTGTATGTACTTGTTTCTGAGGCATTGGCAAACTAGTTGTCTCCATTTATATGTGAATGGACATCTGTGTATGTGTACATGAAATGCAATGTGAAACCAGATTGAAATTGCTAGTTCTTAGCACCAAACTGGCTAATTTATAAACTAGGTCCTGTGTGAAATTGGTTATTTGAAATCATATCGTATAGAGCCAGCAATGACTGTTTGCCCAATTCAGAATTGTTGGTACAAATGTAGAGTTTCTAGAACTTACTTTTGTTTTTCGTATTCTTCATATTCAAGCCTTGATTTAAAGTGTTTTGATCATTGTTCTTATCTGTCAGAACTCACAGGCAGCTTTTCTCTATGTATTTTATTCAGAACAGATCATAATGAATTGTAATTTTTTTCTTTGTAATATGTGGCATTCAACTTAGTTGTATCAAGTGTATCCATAACTTTGAAGAAATTACTTAATGTCTAGCTATTGTATTTTTTTAGGAAAAATTTTTTTTTTACCATCCAGAGATAATTTTGGTATTAACATAAGAAGTTTGAGAGTTTTTATCTTATATTAACAGGTACGAGATCCCGAGATCCTTAAATTTCTTTCTGAATTTCAGAAGTTAATTTTTAAAATATCATTGTTCTTTGGAAGAGGGGAAAGAAATTGAGATTCGAACTGATAATCTTGTTCTTTTCTCCCAAAGGCCATAACCTTTGCACCATTAATACATTTTAAGTTGGGTAATTGTTGAGGTGCTGTCCTGTGCATTGTACATTGCTTACCAGCATCCTTGGTCTCTATTGACTAGATGACAGTGGCCACTTGTGACAGTCAAAAAATATCTAGATATTATCAGATGTCGGGGGGGTGGTGGGAGAACATCACCCGTGGTTAAGAACCACTGGTATAAAAGGAGATGAGATATTTCTCATCTTCACAGCTGACTTATTTGCCTCTTTCAATTTATTTACCTAGTTCTTATTCTTATGGGACTCTGAATTAATACATCATAATAGGAATTGTAAGACCAAGAATATATTATCCTATAATCCCCCTTCCCCATTCCCTTTTACAATCCCTAATAAGGACAAAATGACATTTCTTTTTAAAAATTCAACCATCTTTTGAAATTTCATGGCTTAAAAAGGTAAAATAGGCATCAGGAGTAGAAATTTCTTAATATTGAGGGAAGAAAAGTCTATTTTACAGTTTAATAAGATTCAGAGGCACCTGGCTGGCTTAGTAGGTAGAGCTGTGACTCTTGATCTCAGGTTTATGACTTTGAGCCCCACGTGGGGCATAGAGATTACTTAAAAAAAAAAGACTCAGTGTTTTTTTGAACATGACTGTACACATTTAACACACATATATAGCCTGTCTGTACTCCAAAAGGAATTCAAATAAACTAAAATTCAACACTGTAAAATGTGCCAAACAGAACAGAAACCTGTTGAAGATAATAGAAGAAAGTTATTTTCATGAATCCTTAAATAATTAAACTGTTGCTATAATTGAGTATTGTGTTTAGTTCTGAGTTTCTGGACAACAAAAAACAAAAGGAAAAATCCTGAGTTAATGCTCTAAAGTAAGGCAGCTGACTTGATAGGACCCATGAAGTTGTATACTGTATTGCATGCAATGCAGTACTTACTCTCTTGTTCTTTTCTTTTTTCCAAGATAAAGTGAAATCTTTTCGTGCAGCTCTACAAGAAGAAGAACAGGCCAGCAAGCAAATCAACCCGAAGAGACCCCGTGCCCTTTAAATCAGCATTTGCTGCTAAAGGATCCCCAGAACCCACACTGCTGTAATATACAATGGTTCAGCTGTAAGGGCCATTTGAAAGTTTGAAATTTTAAGTGTCTGTGGAAAATGTCTTGTCCCTTCACCTGAATGACATTTCAATTTTGTGAACCACTCCTTTGTCTACAAAATGCTTCTAGTCGAGGAGGCACAACCAAGATTTGGGAATAGTGAAGCATTTTGTTTCATTTACCCAGATAGTGATTTACTTTTGGAGATCCTTGCCAATTGTATTTTCTGTATGAAGTAAGGTTGTGGACTTGATCCAGCGGTGAAGAGTAGGGGGAAGCCACAGCATTTCCTTTTAACTTGGTTCAATTTTCGTAGCAAGACTGAGCAGTTTTAAATCCTTTGCGTGCATGCATACCTCATCAGTGATTGTACATACCTTGCCCCCTCCTAGAGACAGCTGTGCTCACCTCTTCCTGCTTTGTGCCTTGACTAAGGCTTTTGACCCTAAATTTCTGAAGCACAGCCAAGATAAATTACATTCCTTAATTGTCATTGTAAATTACCTTTATTGTGTGTACATTTTTACTGTATTTGAGACATTTTTTGTGTGTGACTAGTTAATTTTGCAGGATGTGCCATATCATTGAATGGAACTAAAGTCTGTGACAGTGGACATAGCTGCTGGACCATTCCATCTTGTATGTAAAGAAATCTGGAATTATGATTTTAAAACCAGATAATGTGGTTATAATTTTCTTAGCATTTTCTTTGTAAAGAACTAAAATATAAACTAGTTGGTGTATAATAAAAAGTAACGAAATTCTGAGAAGAGTTTTATCTTAGGATAATACATATATATGCAGTGTGTTCTCCAGTGTGGTATTAACAGGACTAATAGTGCAATTTGATCCTTACCAATACCATTACTTAAAGTGTCCATTAGCACCCCAAAATGTACCTCCTAAATGTACTGATAAAGGAAATTGGCTTCTGATGCATGAATATTTACATGTACACTGAAAGTAGTCCATAATAGAACTTAGTTTAAGCCAAGTGTAGACAGTACATAACTCCCTTGAGAAAGAATTAAGCTAAAAGAGGGTTGACTTTGCCTCAAAAGGCAGATCGAACCCAAGCCCCATCCATTACCTAAATGTGTGATGTTTCATCATTATTTGGTGAGAATCACCAAATTCTCGCCAATAAATTGGATTAGGGTATGCTGCTTTTTAAATGGTGGCACTTATTTTTACAGATTGCTACTCCAAGGAAGAAAACTGGCCACTTTTCATGTAAATATTTTGTTAAAAGATTTATATATCTCTCTAGGAGTTTTCCCTTAGTTCCTAGGATAGAATCCAGGAGTAGATTAACAACAAAAAGTCTCCCAAGGATGTCTTGTTTTGATTTACTCAAAGGAACTACTGCTCATTCATTTGGGCCAAAGGGAAGCTATGAATGGAGAGTCACATGAGCCAGATTCCCTACTTCATTGTTCATAGAACCCAGAGGGTAGTTGTGGGAAATCCTAACACCATCGTGAAATGCTCCTCTGTAAACTTGAAATCTAGAACAAATGTAGATTTTCACAATGTGCTTATTAATAAATGATATCTATGGAATGAGTTTTAGAGATAATTTACTTCAGTACAATCACCTTTGTTTTGGAAGGGACTCAGGTTTTCTTGCAGTTGTAAGATATGTTCTTTTGTGGTATTTCAAAGAGAAGAGGAAGAATGGAGCAGATACTATTGACCTTGCAGAGGTTGCTTAAAAAAGTAGTTTTTGAGGCTAACCAACCTTCAGAGGGCAATAAAGAGATGTGAACTTGCTCATTTTAAAGCACAACAGATTACTCTTTATTAATTAAATAAGATGGATACTATCTCTGGAAGGTCTTATATTCAAATATGCCGCCTTATACTATAATGGCTTCATTCTGATCAGTAATCAAGGTCTTTAGAAAATTAATACCAGAAAAGATCTTGGTGGTATAGTCCAAACCTTCAGTTTTACAGATAGGGAAAACTGAAGGCCAGAAAAGGGACTAAAACTCAGTAGTTCACAGGGGAAGAGGAAATAGAGGGAAAGCTGAATTAACTCTTAAAGTTTTCCTATAAGTGTAGAGATGGTACAAATGAATTTTGCAAAGTAAGTAGTTTTGTGATATTAAAAAAACCTACTCTTGAGGTATATTTAATATTTATGTAACAAAAGTGGCTTGATGCAGCTATTATTTAAAGAATAATGAATTTTTTGGATCTGGGTTAAACATTCTCAGATTTCTTGAAAGCTGATATTCCTATTAATAAGTAATTATTTTATTTATATAGGAGTGTTCTACTATATCACTTTGAAGCCAGATTTCAAAAAAATCTGTTTAGGTAAACAACTTCCTAGGTTTACTCAGTGTACCTATGTTAAAATAATTTGGAAGCAGTCTTTCTTTTAAGTTAGGTTTTAAAAAAGTCAGTTATCAAGATATTTTTATTAATTTCCTTATATAAATAAAATAATCAGGTACTATAATTCTTTATTAAAGGACATTAACAACGCTTAGTATTATATTGATAATGATTTAAACATAGTAGCTAGTGAAGACTTGTTTAGGGCATCTATTGACATTGTCAACTGGCCATTTTAAAAATAGCTTAAAACTAAGCATCAGTATATGAAAAGACACTGGAACTTTGTTTTCCAGAAGTCACATGAATACTGAGAGCCTCTAGTTACGAGAAAATGGCTGGTTGAGATGTTTATTTGTTTTAAATAAGTTGAAGGGCAGAATTTGAACTGTAAAGCCAGTTTTGATTTACAAAACCCTTTGAAATTTTGTTAAACTGTGGCTTTCCCCCAGAAAACACATACTATCTTATAGTTCATTTCATTCCAGCTGAGCATGCTCATTTCACAGTTAAGGAACCATGCCCAGAAGTCATATGCCTGGCACCACCGCATGGTGGCGGTAGCGGACTCACGTTTACCCAGAACCCGATGGAGCCTCTGCTGCTACAGGACAGCTTAGGCATAGGCAGTGAGTGAAAGAAGCTGTGTAAGATAAACAGAGAAGAAATGAGAGAAGCAAAATAAGCAGTTGTTTTATTGTGCACATGAATAAAAAGAAATCGTATGGGAAATATGTGACTGAGTTAAGCATGTTTTAACTTTTTTACTATTTGAGGGGCAAAGGCCTACACAGGTCCTCATATAATATATAACAGAAAATAGAACAGTAACATCTTTATACAATAACCTGTTAGAAATGGTAAGTTTAAGTGTAAAGTTGTGCGTGCCTGCGGCTCTTCAAGATTATCATGCGTAGATTGGACCCTGCCCTATGTTAGATATTAAAAACACACCACAACCAAAAAACACTCGGGTACTTAGAATTGACTGACTTACTACCATGAGAATTCAGAGTAATAAATGGTGACAGTAGTAGTATTAAGTCAAAACTAGTCAAGCACATAGTGTTCCAGGGAAGCAAAGGCATAGTTCATCTTCTCAAATTATTAAAAATACGTAATTCCAGTTTCTTGTTCTTGAGTTTGGAAACTTCTGTTTTCCAGACACCTAAGAAAAATGTATACCTTCTGCATTGAATCCATGTAGCAATCTGAAAAAAGAAACCAAAATGAGATGGTATTGAAAGGTAATTTATTGCACATAATAATGCATAGTTCCTATACCACGAATTCCAAAACAAACACATCAGCAAACCTCTGAAGCCCACCCACTCCTAACACTAGTCATTATAGAAACGTCATTCTTCAATTAAATTTGCAAGATATATATTGGTTAAAGTCACATTTTCTTGCCTCTTTTGTCACAGCCTATGTGTCTTAAGTTATGGTGAATCTGACCAAATTATCTTAGACCTCTACTATCCAGACATAAGAGCTCACTGGCGCTTGTTCTGTTTCAACATGGTAAGTGAACAAGAAGCTGTTTGGAACTAGAGACAGAAGAAAAATGAGTGGGTCATCTTAATGTTCACTTTTCCCTCTCTGGGCTCACTATTACTCAGGTTCCAATTAAGTACTTAACACATTGCTTTTCTCTCCATACCTTTGTTACCTATTGGATGCTAATTAGCAAACTGCATATGCTTAATAACCTTGAAGAAATTTGGTGAGAATTAAAGTAAGCTGAAATATTTCTATATAGACCGGAGATGATTTTCAGGATGGCCCACAGGAACAGCTGAAGATGGATGAGAATGTTTGAAAAAGGAAGACAGGTACTTATGAGTGCTGCTCAACTCCTAGGATTAACCTCTGAGGAAGACTCAGTAGTACTGCTAGCCTGCCAATATAAAATATAAACCCCATCTGTCTTATATGGAACTGTGCTGCCAGCTTAGAAAAGTCAAACCAATTACTTGTATAACAATCTACCCTCATTTTTTATTCAGCTCCTAGAACAGGGACGTTCTAAACATGAAATGACTAAATAGGCAAAAACTGTTCAGTAAGTGATAGTTTATTAGGAAATCAAAGTGTTAGTGCTTAAAAACAGTGAGTATAGGTAACTGAAGGCTTATTCTGCTTTCATAAGACTAATCTGCTTAATTCAAGGAAAACATTTGGGTTTGCACTGCCCCATTAATTATGACACCCTTCTTTTATTTTAGGTGTGTAGAACTTGCCTCAGTCGACAAAATAAGTAACTATATTCTTAAACCAGTTAGAACTGAAAACCAGGTATGATTGTAATTGACATTATTTCATGTGTAGGATCTATTTAACAATAACTCTTCCCAGTACAGAAAAAGAATGAGATTCAATGACATGTGTTATGCTGCTTCTACCTTACAGGCTACTTTGAAGACACACACTATTAAGACTAACTATGAATGGGATTTGGGGGAGGAGGCTGAAGGGGAGGAGCACACATACCACAACACACATTGACACAGAGGCTGTCTCCAGGCTCGGACTGTTCTTTATTACTGTTCTTAAAATGTTCATTCTGCTGCAGCTAACTAGCCTCCATCTTCTACACCAAATACTATTCCATACTATGGAAGTGCTATGCAATAACCCCAGGTAGCACCTTACACCGCTTAAAAGCCTTTAAATCTCTAATCGGAAGGTGTCACAGTAAAGAAATGTAAACACTTAGGAAAAAAGAACAATGTAATTACCTGATGAAGTCATCTATGTCCATGGAACGGGCCCGCTTGTCACTAAAACCTGTGCTGGTTAGGATTTGCTGTATTTTATCTGCTATGCTGAAATCTTCTGGTATTATCTATCAATATAAGATTCAGAATAAATGAACAACATATCTTTAATGAAGTCATGTTGGCTCTTTTTTGTTTTTTTTTTTTTAGTTCAATAACTGATAAAATAGTCCCCTTTATCTGCTCACGGCAGTCTGAAAAGCCTATTTTTGCAGATCAGACTTGGACCTCTAATTAAGTGGTTAATCTTCAGCACATACCAAATACTCAGAAAACTTTGAGTTAAACCTGTATACTGCCCTTTTTCTTAAAAATTCTGAAATAGTTTCAGGAGTAAGGTACTTCATATCAAAAAATAAAGCTATAAACTGAATTTTACAGCAACTGTTACTCCTTTAAAAATATCTTACATTTTCTTGGCACAAATTTAATTTTATCAGCCAGTTTTTCTCAAAGAGATGACCTCCAACCCTGGGGAATATTAACTATTTCATACCTCACATCCTTCCTCCAAAGATTTTTCTTAATCCAGTTTAATATTTTCCTACCTAAGCAGTTGTTTAATGACTTTGTCCATAAAAAAGAAAATGAAGGTAGCAGTATGATATATTAAACCATACAAGATCTGAGTCCAAAAATGCAATGGAAATTTGCTCTTATCTCTCTGCTCTGTTTAATTAATTTGAAAGAACTAGAAAGTTATCAGACATCACAGTTACGTGTATGGCTACGTGTATGTGTGCTGACACACATACAAAATTGGTTAAAAAAAATGTTGCACAGATAATAAAGAGGCATGAGGCTTACAACAAAAAATCTGCTATTCAGCCTATACTTTAATTATTTCAATTTCTGGGTATTAAAAAAAGTTACTGAGAAAATGGTAACTTTAAATTGAATTGCTACGTGAGCAACAAGGCAATTCAGAGCATAGCAAATGGTACATAATTTGAGCTGAGCAAGCTACACATGCCTAAAGCTTTGGGAAAATTATGACTCAATTGAATTTCTTTTTATGTCTAAAAACAACTGTCTAGTTAAAGAAGCTCAAGTGGAGTAATCAAGGCCACTCGGATCTATTCCAAGAATACACAGTAGTATTGACCTATTAGAGGTCAAGTTAAGGTTGTTCTAGTTACACATCACTTTTAAGGATCCTATGGAATGTACCAAATTAAGAATCAAGTGATGAAAAATGAAAAGAAGTAGATGAACATTTTAAAACAAATCGGAACCACAGAGACAACAGAAATATTTTTTGCTTACAATATTATGGATCGAACAGTGAATTCTGTAGTTTTTTTCCAACAGCTGTTGTACTGCGCTTGACCTATAGCATAAAGAAGCGATATTGCTATTATTCCAAAATCAGAGATTATAATTTCCTTTCAGTTTATTATAAAGTTAAGTGTATGTTCCATGTAGGAAAATTAAGGGACTAAAAAGGCATTGAGTATTAAGAAACAATCACAAACTAGTTATATTTAAAAAGTAAAGTTCTAATAAAAATCTCTGAAATTCTTAACATCACCTAAATTCAAAACATCACCTAAAAAAAAAAAAAGGTGAAATAACGGCTTTCAGAACCTCTTTTGCTCTTGGGCTTCAAATTGCTATTTAAAAATATTTCCAAGTTAATAAAATTGCATGAATTTTTCACAAGTGTTGAAAAATGAGACAGATGTGTGGTTTTTGTTTTTTCCTGTTTTGCCAAAAAACCTGATGTAATTCCAAATTCCAGGAACTTTCTTTGTTAAATTTTTCTGCCCCCCCCCCCCAAAAGAACAAAGTTAGTGAAAAAGGAAAAGTGTGTCTGGACATGGGTAATCTTTATGCTTTAGGGTATCTGTTCAGGATAAGGACCAAATTCTATCACTTAGCACAGTTCCTACAGCACTGGTCGTCCTTCCTATATCATAAATGAGTAAAATACTCACTTAAATGCAGCAGAGAGTGTCTTGTTTTTCCTAACGAAGGTGATCCTTACTAGGCCATCCCATTCCTGAAACAGAAGATGGATCATTTCTTAAAAATATCCAACCTTGCCTATGTCTCCTAGGATTTGTCTTTTAATATATAAAACTAAAAGAACCTTCTGGAGTGACGAAAATATTCTGTATTTTGATCTGGCTGACCCATGCAAAAAATACGATATGTACTTGATTTTTGGCACTTCTGTCCACCTCACTGAAAATTTTATCCTCAATTTTAAAAATTAGAAAAAAAAATTGTTCCACATCTGAACAAAGAACACTGTGACATTTATTTAAATCAAAGTACCATTTTCAAAAAACATAATTCAAGGGGTGCCTGGGTGGCTCAGTCCTTATGCGTCTGCCTTCGGCTCGGGTCATGATCCCAAAGTCCTGGGATCGAGCCCCGCATCGGGCTTCCTGCTTGGCGGGAAGCCTGCTTTTCCCTCTCCCTCTCCCCCTACTTGTGTTCCCTCTCTCGCTGTGTCTCTGTCAAATAAATAAAATCTTTAAAAAAAAAACATAATTCAAAACAGACATGATTTAACAGCCTATGCAACATACCTAAACCACCCTACAGGAGTAATTAACAAACCACTCCATTACCAAGAACTGACTACACAATCAAGTTTTTATCCAAAGAGACTGCAGTATGGTTTTACATCAAGTGATGCAACTTCTCTTTTTAAATTGCAGAAATATGAATTATGATTAAAAAGTGTTATTCATAATATTGCTCTAACAACTACCTTCATTTTATCTTGTTTTCTAAGTCATACTCAAATATTCTGTAGCTATACTCGATAGCAAACTGCAAAGGCATTCCAAGCTGTACTTTTTTGCAAACATTTTCCATGCTTTTTTGTGCTCTTCACAATGATCTTACATCCAAATATTCCATCTACTCCCAACATAGGGATGTCATAATTAGCATTTTCCTGTCTGGACATTTAGGTTAACTCAGTATTTTTCTGCTGCTAGAGACACACATCTTCCAGCTTGGTCTTTTTTTCCTCCTTTACTGAACGATCTAGTACTTTAACCTCACCTGAAAATTGATAGGTGGTGGTGGATTCTTAGGTTCTATTCTTACAACACTGGATTCTACCTTGGGTGGTGGCCTGAAGTTATTCTTTCCAACCTGTTAATTAGAAAATAAGGAGTCCTCTCAAAAAGAGTTTTAAATTAGTAATCAAATATGCTTTCCTCACAGAAGGCACAACTAGATGCTCACGGATGAGGTAAGCACATTATTTCACTAACAGTCACTTACTTTCATCAGATGGTCCACACGTGCTAACAGCTGTGTATTGATTGAGAGTCTGCAGTATAATTTATCTCCAGGCTTTGCAACTAGTCTGAGAGCAAATTCTCTTTGAAACATAAGTACAGCACATCTGAAGAGATAGTAGAAAAGGAATAAGGAAAATGGTTACTTTTAACTATAAAGGTATTTCAACTTCAATTAATTTTCTTGGGTGGGAAATAGAACAAAGAGTATCTGTGGTTAATGAGAATTCGTTCAGCTGATTAGAAGGCAGAACACTTTCAGCTTCAGCTTTATTACCACAAAATGAGCCAGCTGGCTTTTCATTTTATAATGACTACACCACTAACTCCTTGCACATGTAAGCCCTCTGTGTTCAGATAAGCACTAGTCCATTATCCCTTCTAGGGGAAAAAACAAAACAAAACTCAAAATCAGCTCGGCAGCCCAGTGGGATTTATGGGGAAGCAAACACCCTTATGGAAGAGCTGACGCAAGAGAGACAGGTTGTGACACTGGTGTCCTGATTTCCCAAGTTAAAGAACGTGGACGTTGGAAAGCAATGCAGAGGCTTTTTGGAGACTCTTGAATAGGAAAAGAGCATCTTCAAAGCTGGGCTTTGACTTTGAAACTTTTTTGACAACGAGTCACACTAAGAAATACATTTGACATTGCAACCTACGCCACAAATATCTGTACGTATATGTTTTATGTAACTTAAGCAAAAGTTTCACAAAACTGTAATCACCTGGGCCACATACAATGAATGCCCTCTGATATACTCTATTCCATGTCATTAAAAAAAAATGGTCACGACTCAATAAATTTATAACCAGTAAGGGGTTTCTGAATTGCAGTTTGAAAACCCCTGTTATATAATGTGCCTAGTGACTAGTTCGGAGGCTGTTGAGACGTAAGGTAATAAAGAGTCTGACCTGGACTAATGGCAAGAGTATTAGAAAACGGGGAAAGGCCATTTGGTCTCAGAAGGAGGACTTACACTGTACCTCCCCCCAAAGCTCTGTCAACTGAATAAAAAAGAGAGAGAAAGACCTCCACACAAATAGATATTTTCTACAAAACACATTCTCCAATAGTTTTTTAATTGAATTAACTATCATCTTTGGCTGTCTCTGTTCACGGCCTAAAATTTGGCGGTAATTTTGGTCTTTTTGTCACAAACCTGAAAAAAGGTCGGTGCAGCAACAGCTTGAAGACAAAGGGGGAAGAGATCTGTAAGAGAATTAACTAGTTATTTCTAGGAAAGACACATCACAGAAACATTTTGTATAATGTTCCCAACAATTTGAAAACACACCTGATATGGCAAATTTGCCACACAAGCATCAAAGAATGGTAGATCTGTTTTCAACACATCACCCACCAGTACCTGAAGTTTGCTGGCCAGAGGCCTAACAGTAAGAAAAAGAGCAATTAAAAGAGTACTGTTTCATGAGATTGAAATGCACTTTAATCCTATCATGCATACTCATACTCACGTGCCCTGAACTCTTTTGTGAAGTTCTGCTACTAGCCTTGGGTCAAGTTCACAGGCAATTACCTACATTAAAAAAAAAAAGTATTTGGGGGTTAATTACGGAGCATAAATCTTGTTATCTCAATCCTAACTCCTACATGATTAACATGAATCAAACTTTTTTCACCAATTCTACCTCCAATTTTCCTTCAATTCTACTCTACCATTTCAAATAACAAAGAACACCATTCAGAAAAATAGACTGTGCTCTGAGTGGCCCCTGTTCAAATGGCTCCCACTCTTACCGGGCTCTGGTAAGGCAGTTCCCTCCATGTGCCCCTTGAGGCCTTTGGACGGTAACTGTTTCCTGCTGTCGCTAGCCCGTGGGTATTCCAGTAATGCCTACTGGCTCTCTTAATCCCATTCCTACATTTTGGATCCATTCAACTGGAAACTGGGTCAGCCAGAACACACAGAAGCCACCAGCAGCGGCCAGGTGGCATCCCAATCTCATGGTGCAGCTCTTTAGATCTCCTCCTCTAGGTTCCAATACTCCAGCCTCCTTGCTTTGTCCCCCGAGCCTAGAGGTGGTAGCTCCTCTTTGTAATTATTATTTTTGAGCTACCTCAGTGTTCCCATTTTATTCTTTTAGTCATCTAACAACAACGTAAACAACTCCCTATATTAAATACCCTGTATTGAAAAATCAAATGTGGTTTCTGTTTTCCTTTTTTTTTTTAAGATTTTATTTATTTATTTGACAGAGAGAGACAGCCAGAGAGGGAACACAAGCAGGGGGAGTGGGAGAAGGAGAAGCAGACTTCCCGCGGAGCAGGGAGCCCAATGCGGGGCTCGATCCCAGGACCCCGGGTTCACGACCTGAGCCAAAGGCAGACGCTCAACGACTGAGCCACCCAGGCGTCCCTCTGTTTTCCTGATTAATACATCCCATATTCTCTTTTTTGTAATCCATTTTTTGAAATGGAGATATAGTTGACATAACGTTATATTAGTTTCAGGTGTACAACATAACATGTACATACTGCAAAATATGTATATATTGTGAAAAAGTCTAGTTAGCATCCATTGCCACACATATTTATACATAAAATATTTTTTGTCTTGTGATGAGAACTTTTAAGATCTACTCTCTTAGCAGCTTTAAAATATACATATGATACTGTTGCTAACTATAGCGACATGCTGTACATTCCATTCCCAGGACTTACTCATTTTATAACTGGAAGTTTGCATTTTTGACCACTTTTATCCATTTTGCCCGTATTTGTTAAGATAAAGCTGTTAGCGAATTATTAAGGGTTGCTGTTAAAGTAACAGCAATTAATTAAAATAGATTTCTATTTGTAAACCAGGTGAGCTTGCTCACATAGTCATTTCTGATACCAAAACACAAAATTCCCTTTTTACCGTTTTTGCCTTTTCTAGCAACTTTACAGTCATATTGCCAGTTCCAGGTCCAACTTCCAGCACCACGTCCGTTGGTCTTAAGGCAGCCTGCAAGCACGCATAACCACTTTAGCTTTACTGGCACATCTGAGCACATCATTTATTTTACATATTTATTTACACATTTATTTTATCTTTGCTCAAAAGCACGTGGTTAAAGCGATCTTATTCTGACTCCACATCTGTGAGATTCGTTCATGATCTATGTGCTTGACAAAATTTTCTCATTAACATTAGGTGCAAGTGGAAATCTGTCATCTTTCCTAAGCTGGGGCCATAGTTAGGAGTCAGAAAACTTTATAGGAGTCAGAAAAGCAGGAATAGCAGTTCTTTCTGGGAATGGCTTTCTGTCTTCTACCTCAGAAATGACTCCAACAGCATCTTTTTACCAACTCTTATTATCAGTAAGTTCAAACAAGAAGGGACTGCATATGATGATCTTGCCTGAGAATCACAGCATGTTGTACTGGGATTTCTCAATTTTCAACCCATGTATGGTTTCAGGGATAGGAATACCTAGAAATTGTACAGAAACCCGGGTGTTTGTATGGCACAAAGCTGCAGTGTTCTGTGTGCACAGCTTTCATCAGATGCTCAAAGGAAATCCATGAGCCAAAAAGGTTAAAAAATTAGGCCCTCGTTTGGCCAACAACACTACGTCAAGATGATAGAGTCTCTAAAGATGTAATGTTCTCTCTATGGCTCCAGGATGCCTCCTTTGTAACTGAGAATGTAATCTGTACCACATATATTTCATGTTAAGGCACTCAGTCATCCACAACAGTAAGAGAACATCCACGACCCATGCCAGAAGAATACTCCAAAGGGTTTATATGAGGCACTGGATTGTACCATGTAAGTTTCTCTGTGGAAAAAACTTCCTAAGCTGTCATCATGACATCTTTTTAGGCTCTGGAGTAAATAAAAACTAACAGTGATAGATGGTGTCTAGAAAAAAGTGATAAGGAATAGAAAATAATCTGGAATTGAACAAGTACAAACGTCCAGCTATGAAGTAAATAATCTACAGAAAGAATTTGGAGCCTGGGGAAACTCAGACCCACAGAATAAAGCAAATCCCGCCGAAGTCAGCCTATGAATCCCAGACAATTCTTCAATTCATTCTACAAATATATAGAGAGCATCTATTTTGTGACAGACATCCTCTGTGCGCTGAAGTATTCCTAGGAACAAAATCAATAACCCAACAACTCTCGCCTTTTCTCTTCCACACCCACCTTATCGATAATGCTGTTAACAATGAGAGGATTTTTCAAAATGTGCTGCCCAATCCCCGTGTTGAACATGAGTCCTGGAAGAAAACACGAAAGAGCCTTAATTTCCCAAGGAAAGTAGACCTTAGACCGGTCCACAGAAGAAAGCAGGGTGGCTGGGGTTAGATCTCTGCGCCGAGAGCCACCATCGAACGTCACGCCTGAAGCCGAGATGACACCCTGCTTTAAGTCCACCCCTCCTGCAGGAAAGGAAGGCAGAGGCGGCGCAAGGCCTGCCGCCGGCGATCCGGGAGCGCCGCCGCCACCGGCCTTACTGTCCCGGCCCAGATCTGGGTCCGTGTCCCCGAACAGGTCCTGCCGGATGATCAGACCTGAACACAGCCCCCTCCCGGCTGTCCCCACCTCCCGCGCTCTTCAGCTCCCGGCTCTCTTTGAGCCGCTCGCGGCGGCGACCGCTCGTCCCCGACTTGATCTTCGGCATCACCGCGGGTTCAGACGCACAGGCTTGGAGAGCAGAGGGGACCAAAGTCGGCTACCCAGCGCCACACGTTGGAACTCCCACCCCGGCACTGCCGGCACCACTCCCCGCCACGTGGGGTAGGGGCGAGGGCCCAGCCCCCGTTCGTCGTGGGCTCCGCCCCCAGAGAGGGGACGGACCTTGGAGCCCCGTGGCCGCCGGGAATTGTAGGCATGAGGAGGAGGAAGCCCTAAACTCGAGAGACTACGGATCCCAGAAGACACCGCGCCGCTGATCCTGGCTGTTTGGATTGGCTAGTTTAGAGTCGGGGTGGGGCCTCTCGCCCGGGTCGGCGCGGAGTTGGTCGGGTCAGTTTTGGGGTGGTGCTCTCGAAGATGTGGAGGCGGTTTAAATTATATCGTGCTGTTAGGAGTGTAGATGCTTCGTCAAGCCAGGTGCTGGGACCCGCGAAATCCAAAGGTTTCTTTCTGTCCTGTGCCTCGCTCCCGTTTTCCAGCAAACTCTGGGGTGGGGAACCAAGGATTTGGGATAAGGAGCTTGCGCCCTTGCGCGAGTGACTTCGCTTCTTGGGTTGGGGAGGACCTCCGAGAATGTAACAGATCCTCACTTCCCCTAGGGCTCCTAGTTGCTTTGCTTCCTTTTGTGCCATTGATTCATTCCCCAAACGTTTATCGGACTCCAGCTGCGATTAAACACTACTGGGTGCTGTAGATTCAAAGTTAAATAAGAAACTGCTCTTCCCAGAGTCTATTCTATTGAGAGAGAGAGAGAGGCAGAAAGTCCGAAACGCTGTAAATGTGGGTATAAGTTTTTGTGTTGGGTTTTGTGGTAGGACAGTGTATCCGATTGTAAGCTCCGTGTGTACAAGGTCCACGTCTGTTTTGCATGCCAGTGTAACGACTCTCAGTTTTTAATTTTTCAGTGTGTGCTCTGTTTTCTTCAGGAAAGTTTCTTCTGTTTGGATTACCAAAGCTGCCTCTTCCTCGAGCAACTAGTATGTGTGCATCGCCAAGCCTTGGTCGTTCTTTGCTGTAATTCTAACTCAGGAAAAAACTCATAACTTTAGTAACATCTTCAACTACTTATTTCATTCCATTAATCGTTATTTTATTACGCAATTCTGGAGAACCTATGTGTTCCAGGGACTGTGTCAAATATTAGGAATAAAAAGATGAACATGAATGCTTCACTGCTTTTAAGGAACTTGCTGTCGAGAGAGGGAGACATGCAAGTTATTATAATGATAACATATTTGCTGTTACATGCCAGGTAACTTTGGGTACATTATTTCATTTAATCTTTTCAAACAGTTGTCTGAACTAAGTCTTATCATTATATCCATTTTATAGATGAGGCTGAAGGACAAAAATGTTTAATATTTTGCTCAAGATCACACAGTAAATGACAGCTGCATCTTGAACCTACGTCTGTATTCCAAAGGTTGTGGGTTTTTAAAAAAAGGTATGATGATGATTAGCACAGTGGCTAAGATTTGAGGAAGTTGGGGAACATTTTCAAAATACAATAGTTGAGTGGAGTCTTTAAAGGACAAACAAAAATTAGCTAGGGGAAACTTGGGAATTTAGAGGAAACCGTAGTCACGAAGACAAGATATAAAGAAGTTGAAGGGAGACAATGAAACTTGGTATAGCTGAGGAATAAATAGGAAAGGTAAATAGGACCTTACTACAAAGGGCCTAAAATGTTATGCCAAGGAGCAGTGGTGGTCACTGAGAAACCAGAATAACCATTTTGCATTTTCTCCTCCTCTCCAGGCTCTGCGAATTGCCGGAGATCACACAATAGTGTAGGTAGGAGACATTCATGGACTTCACTTTTAACTCTTGCTCTCTTAGCTCTAGCACTCTTCTTGAATTTTCTCTAATGTCTCCCAGTCTCCATAAAAGATCTTTAGACCTGCTGGATTCTTCTCAGGCTCGTTTCCCCTTCCACCTCCCCAGTTCCCTCTCAGCAGAAGAGCTTGCCTTTTACTTCACAAGAGAAGTGCAAGATCACCTCAAGGACATGCTCATCTTCCTGGGTTACTGTTCTACACTCTGAGCAAAGCAAAGTGGAACTTTCTTTCTGGTGGGGAAAAACAGACATTCTGGTAGGTGGTGATGAGTGTGCAGGGAAAAGTAAAGCAGAGGTGATAGAGATCAGCAGGATGGGTGGGAGAGGCTATTTTATGTAGCATGGTCTGGCAAGGCTGCCATGATGGAGATAATCTGATCAGAGACCTGAGGACACAAATCTAGAAGTGACTCACACCCTGGCAGTTTCTGCTATAACTAACTGCAAGACAGTAAGTGAGGAAAGCATGAAGGTAGGAGACACTGTGAATGGAAGTACATGGCACAATAGAAGGAAAGGGGTGCAGTTTTTGTTAGGAGAATTCATATGCACAGGCCAGGGAGAGCTTGAAATTTTGGAGTGGGGAGATAGTTCTACTAGTTGGGGGAAAAAAAAAAGGTTTAGCATTAAACTCCTAGGTAAATTGGTGTCATAGTTTACTATTGGGTACTGCAAAATGTAAGTCCCCTTTGCTTTTGCTGAAGAGTGAATAGAGTAGACAACAAAGATGGAAAACCAAATGATATTTTTTTAGGAGTAAAATAGAAAGACCCTCCTAGAAGAAGCCACATGTTTTAAGGCACAGAAAACTAAATGACTAAGGTGAGTGTGTACATTTAGCTTACCTAGAATCTAAATTGGTGTTTGTCCATATGTGAATCTTGGACCACCTGCATTAGAAATACTGCAGCACATGTTAGGGCTGAATTGTATCCTCCCAAAATCTATCTGTTAAAGCCCTAACCTCTTGTACCTCACAATGTGTCCCTATTTGGAGTTAGGACTTTTAAAGAAATGATTAAGCAGAATAAGATCACTAGGCTCGGCCCTAATCCAAAGACTGGTATCCTTATAAAAGGAGGAAATTTGTATACACAAAACACCAAGGGTGTGTATGCACAGAGAGAAGACCTTATGGGGACGCAGAGAGAAGGTGGCTGTCTAAAGCCAAGGACAGAAGCCTTAGGAGAAATCAACCATGCTGACACCTAGATCTTCAATTTCTAGCCTCTAAAACTGTGAGAACTAGAGGTTAGAAACTGTGAGAAAATAAATTTCTGTTCTTTAAGCCACTAATATCATAGTCTGTGGTATTTGATATGGCAGCCCAAGCAAACTAATATAGCACATAATGAAAACTCACATTTACAAGCCCTCCCCTGAACATTTTGGATCAGAGTAGGATTGGGCCCTGGCAGATGCATTCTTAACAAACCCTCTAGGAAATTCTGGTGTACACCACAGGTAAGGATTCATTACTTTCTGCACTAAAATAAAGTAGATTGAGGAATTTCTACAGAAAAGAAGATGGGGAGGGCTACCGTCATTAGTATGGGAAACTTGTTCTTGTAATTGGGATCCCTTATTATTCTGCCCATATTCACCAATTTTTTTTTTTTCTGTTAGTATCAAGGCGACATTCAGAAGTGAGATAATATTGGGTGCACCATGGATCCATAAGTCCTAGAAAATTATGTGACACTAGGTTATGAGCTGCATTAAAGACATGAGCATTGGGAATTTATGCTGGAATGTATTTGAGTTAACTTTGCGGCCACGAATGGCTTTGAATTAAATAATTTTATACTTCTCTGGTTCATGTTTATCTCCTTTGTTAATTAAAAATAATCATTTTTCAATTTGGATTGCACAGTGGATTCATTGCCATTCTTATATTTTTTGTTTTTTAATGTAATAGAACTTGAAAAGGAATTATAGTAACATTTGCTTTGTTAGAAGAGGCTCACTTAAAGTGACAGCCTGCCTGAAGTGATAAACATTGTAAATGTGGCAGGAAATATAAAGAATAACAATAAAATGTTGTAAGCATTTTCTTGTATAAAATATAGTTCCTTAAAGACTTTTAATGTATTGAAATGTCATAAAAACATCAAGAATGTTTGAATTTCACACTTTTAACATAGATTCACTAACAGAAATACTGTGTTCTTTTGAAAAAGGAATATAATTCACTTGAACAAGATAAAACAAAATCAAATTGAAATATAATTAAATCAACTGTTTAATTTGATTAAAACACTGGAGCATTATGATTGTGCCAATATCCAAATCTAAATGGTAAAATGAAATTCTACGTTACAAAACCGGACAATTTCAAAGAATACCTAGTGTCTTAATTTCTACTATGATGTCTAAATCTTAACATAAAAATATAATGACACTTGGGTGAAAGAAGTTACATACCTTTAATACTTTGGGCAAGATTATAAACATGTTCTAATTTTTTTTCAGATCATTATAAATGCTGTCTTAAGGTATTAAAATTAATTAAGAAACACAATTAAGTTCTCTGTTTAATACCAGCCTGAGTCTAAGCATTGTCAATGAATATCTAATATCTAATAATTGATTCTCCCAAAAATGTCTGTCAGATAAATGTTTTCATATCGCCGTAAAATGTCATGTTACAAAATGAAGCTTTTGAAGCTTTACAAATACAACCAGAAATAAATTATCGTACTGAGAATACTAATTGTGAATTATAATAGAGCCTATTTTATATTTTAATTCTACATTTATAAATATTATATTTTTTATATTATGTTTTATGGGCATTGAAGTACTTTTCATGCAATTTGATTTTCAGTGAGCCCCTGGCAAGTTTGTTAGGGCAAGCACGATTACCCTGTTTTACACAGGAAGAAACTGAGTCTCACTGAGATTAAAGGCTCAGGGTCCTTCAGGTAGTAAGCAGCAGAGGTGAGAAGAGTAAGCCTGTGCCAGCTTACGCAATAGGCAGTCCCACCTGCTGCCATCTGTGAACTCTGTTGGTCTCTAGTTCTGCTGAATGTGGGCATTACAGTCCATTGCTCTCATCACTGGTGGGGTGGCTGGGAAGCAAAGTATACTAGCTGAGTCATCCTAAATAGAATTTAAATCAATTTTACTTTTTTAAAAAGATGTTTATTTATTTCAGAACAAGTGAGAGAAAGAGAGTGCACAGAGGGAGAGGGAGAAGCAGACTCCCTGCCGATGAGAGGGCCCAACTTGGGGCTCCATCCCAGGACCCCAGGCTCATAACTTGAGCTGGAGGCAGATGCTTAACTGACTGGGCCACCCGGGAGCCCTAAATCAATTTTATTTTTTAATAACAATCTGATGTGTTTCATTATAAACAACATACACTGTAAACAAAATAACAAAGCCAAAAATCTAACTTGCAGAAATTTTGGAAAATACAGAAACTAGGAAGAAGATAAAAAATTTACCTGTAATCACTCTATGCTGAGATAACCTTTATGAATATTTTGACATGTAGTTGTTTTCTTCTATTGTTTTAACAACACATATTTTTACATAATTGAAGTCTTGCAACTTACTGTTATTTTTTCATAAAATACAGTGACATGAAAAGCACTTTCCCAAGTTGTTATACAGTCTTGTTTATTAATATTGAAAGTTGCTGCAGCAGATTTTGTCTTGTGAATGCATAAGAGTTTATTAAATCATTCTCATACCATTGTTGTAAAAAACAGAGCCATACACATTTTAGTGCATACATGAAAAATATTTTCTATCTTTGGATTATTTCCCTAATATACATTTCCAAGAATGGAATTATTTAGGCAAACTGTATGGACATTTAAGTCTGGGTATATATTATCAAATTATTTTCTAAAACAATAATCAACTTTTATTCTTACCAGTACAAAATGAAAAAATGCTAATTTCACTGTAAAAAAAACCATAGGTAGAGGATATTCTTATATCCCAATTCCAAACTAGAAGTTGTTTTATTTTTCCTTATTTATTAAAGTAATACTTAAACATTGCAAAAAAGTTTAGATGATAAAAAAGGTTTTAGAAAATGAAACCCATCACTCAGAATTAACTTCCATTAATGTATTGATAGTTTCCAAGACTTTTTGGATATATTAGACTCTTCTCTTGCTTTTACCTAACTAAATATGAAGGACATCTTTTAATGTTAATGAATATAAGTCTACATCACCATTTTTAATAAGTGGATAGTGTTCTATTATATAAACTTACCATAATTTATGATCTTTATTGAAAGACATTTGTATTGTTTCAAGTTTTAAAAAAATAATAAACTGAATCTGCTACAGATTATATTACCAAGGGCAGATCAATTAGTTTCTCAAAGACTTACTTTCCTAACCTGGTAAGCATCTGATGAGTTAATGGATCAGCATCTAATGAGAGCTCTATTATAGAGTTGGCCAAGACCCAGCTTTACACAAGTTGCAGTATTAAGTGAAATGTAGCAAATTGGAAAGCCTATGACTTTGGAACACATGTTAGTTTTCTCTTGCTGCTGGAAAAAATTCCCACAAAGTAGTTTAAAAACAACATGAATTTGGGATGCCTGCGTGGCTCAGTCGTTAAGCATCTGCCTTCGACTCAGGTCATGATCCCAGGGTCCTGGGATTGAGCCCCACATAGGGCTCCCTGCTCCTGGGGAAGCCTGCTTCTCCCTCTGCCACTCCCCCTGCTTGTGTTCCCTCTCTCGCTGTGTCTCTCTCTGTCAAATGAATAAGTAAAATCTTAAAAATATATATATATGAATTTATTATCTTAAAATTCCGAAGGTGAGGAGTCTAAAATCCTCTGCAGGACTCAGTTTCTTGCAGAATTTAGGAGAGAATCTGACTTTTCCAGTTTCTCTAGGCTGCCTGCATTCCTTTACTCATGGCTTTATATCGCTCTGACCTCTACTTCAATGGTCACATCTCTCTCTGACACGCCTGCCTCCCTCTTACAAAACACCGTTGTGACTACATTGGGCCCACAAGATAATCCAGAATAATCTTCCCATCTCAAGATACTTAATGTAGCCATATCTGCAAAGTCCCTTTTGCCATGAAAAATAATATATTCACAAGTTTGGGGGATTAGGATGCGGATCTCTTTTATCCTACCAACTACAAAGCATATATCTAAATTTGAGTCTGGATTCTTCCAGGTAAGAATTTGAATGTTTAATTAAAGCTTTCACAGTATCGCTATTAGCATCAACGTAATGTATGCAATAACAATATACACTGGTTTTATACTAAAGATGACCACATTCTCTCAAAATTTGCACCACCTATCCCCCAAGGGCAAATGCACCACCCTGGCTCGAAACCGCAGCCACAATGGGCATTGTGAATGTGTTAACATGTCAATAAACACATGCCAACATAATTTCTAGTGGCCAATTTGTAATTTATTATATATGCATGTATTATGATTAGGCATTCCTTTCTTGGTGGTTTAGATAACTTTTTATATTTTTACTTTTAAAACAGCCCTTGTGTGATAAATACCCTTGTAATGTAGGTTTTATGGTTGCCTGGTTCAAATTCTAACAATGCCCCTTACTAGCTGGGTGACGTTAGGCAGATTAGTTGAATTCTCTATGCTTCAGTTTCTTCATCTATAAAATGGGCACAATAAAAAGCACCTCATAGATTGTTTTGAGGATTTGTATAAATACGTGATTCATGTAAAGATCTTAGAATTGTATCTGGCACATTCTAAATGTTCAATAAATGTTAATTATTTTATTATTCTTGAACCCTCACCCATATCTTTACAACTTCTCTTTCTGAAGAAAACTTAGGTTATTAAGCTAAGCTAGTAGCAGAGGGGGGCAGAAGTGGACTTTTCCTTTTTAATCTTTCCATTCTTCCTATAGTTCTGGAGTAGAGCGCCCAGCAAATGTAGGACTTAAAAAAATTCAAAAACAAATTTTCGCGGGAGGGTTGACCGATGAGAGAATAAGATTATCTTAATAACTCTCCTCAGCTGAGACGGACCCGTAAAACAATACAGTTTAGAACAGATATCCGGAATTGCGAAGAGAAAAGGGTTCTGATTCAGTCAACCCAGGACACAACCGATCCTTCTGGTAGTGGGGCTACGCGGAGTTAACGCTCCCATGGTTACAGATCGGGCTGACTCCAGGCTTTGCGCTCTCTACTGCGCAAGTGCAGACAGCTGATTTAGCCCCCCGGCGCCTTCAGTTTCGAAGGGGAAGCCCCACCCCCCTCTTCTGCCGTCCTCCTATCGCCTTCTCACTTTGCCTCTTCCACGCGTTCCGGGGGTCTGTGACGCAGTATTCCGGCGTCCGCGTCGTTTGGAGCCGCGACGCTGAACATGGCGCGTTCCTAGAAGCCGCTTTCGGCATCAGTAGGCGGCGGCGTGTAGATTGGAAGCGTGGGGCGCGGGACCAACCGACTTCGCTTCGTGTTGGGGAGTGGAAGCGGGAGAGCTGGGCTATTCCGGACCGAACCAAACGGTGAGGCCTGAGAGCCACAGAGCGCGCGAGTGGAAGGGAGGTGTGGGTTGGGCAGCGGAGACCCGAGAGGCGAGGGAAGAACGTGGGTCAACCCGCAGACGAGGAATTGCAGTAACGCGGCGAGGGCGGCCTGCAGGCTTGGCTCTCTGCGTAACCCTAGGAACCACTAGGAGCTGGCGGCTGGCCGAGTCAGCCCGGGGGTTGGGGGGTAGGCTTGGTCGAGGAGGAATCGGGGTGCAGGGAGACAGGGACTGGGTGCCAGATGAGAAGAGCATAGGGTGCCCATTGTGGCTGCATAGGGTGGTGCATTCGCCCTTGGGGGATAGGTGGTGCAAATTTTGAGAGAATGTGGTCATCTTTAGTATCAAACCAGTGTATATTGTTATTGCATACATTACGTTGATGCTAATAGCGATACCGTGAAAGCTTTAATTAAACGTTAGACCCTTGCCTTTAATGTACAGGTGAAGGAAGTTACACATTTTCAGAGGGGAGCAGCTTGCTGAGGTATGGCCGCCAGTGCTCAAGCCCAGCGACTTCTGCAGCTTTATATTGGGGGTATTTGTGATTCAGCAAAACTATTTTGAGGCCCATTGCATTTGTCATTCCTCATTCTTTTGTTACATAGTGGGGAATGAGGAAAGTATTATTTGGAAGTGACTTGACTAAATTAGGTAGAAGTGGTAAATTGTCTGCTGGTGCCAAGATTGCAATTGACATACCTCCTCCCCACCCCAATATAAGCGAGCTCGGTTGTAGTGAAGTGTAGTGCCTTTGAGAATTGGTTATTCCTCAGAAGAGGGTAAGAGCAGTTTACAGCCATAATGTTTTTTCTTGGATAGGGAGTTCACTCCATTTTAACGTTATTTTAAACTTCTCTCTTCAGTTTAGAGCCTTCAGGTTTAAGGGGAGAGTGACTATAAGGCTTCCGTTGCATGACGCCTTTTCTTTTATCTTTCATCACTGAAGATTACTTTGAAATTACAATGAAAATCCCTGTTGGTTGTGATAGGATTGTGGAATTTTCTCCTCCTGTAACCTAGTATAGGGAATAGTAGAAACAGTTTAATTATAGCAATGGTTTGTGGCCGTATATTATAGCCCTAGGTCAGCTGGGCTGTCTCTGTCCTAGTTACACTTCCTAGAGCCGAAGAAAATTCTCATCACAAATGAATTCAATCGTGGCAATAGGATCGGAGGTTCTAAACAAATACATGAAGATTATTTGGTAATTCGTATAAAAGTCTTTAAATTTTGTGACATTGAGAATGTGTTTGCATTCAGGATCAAACCATAATGCAAAAGAACCCTTGTAGGCATGTGGCAGTTAAAATATACTGAAGACTTTTCCAGAGCTAAGTATGTTCTTGTAGATATAAAAATATTTGTGTTTTGAGAAAGGTAATATGATTAGACGGATTTTGACCTTTGTGTTGTATGTATGTTCATATATGTGTGCGTTTGTATTTATATCTGTTGTCCAAGTATAGCTGATGTACAGTGTTATATTAGTTTCAGGTGTACAGCATGGTGATTTGACAGTTCTGTACTTTATGATGTGCTCACCATGATAAGTGTCATTACTGTCTATCACCATGCAGTGTTGTTACAGTATTAGTGACCATATTTCCTGTGTTGTATTTTTCATCCCTGTGACTTACTTATTTTATAACTGGAAGTTTGCACCTCTTAATCCCCTTCACCTATTTCTGTGCATTGGTATTTAATCTTACTTCTCCTAATATGGTGTTATTGATTCCAGTATTACTCATTTCTGTCTTTTCCTATCTGCATCATATGAGGACTGTCATCAAGTTAACTTCAGAGTGTTTTAGGGAATGGCAAGACATACTTAGTGCAGGTGTGAGTCTGGAGTGTTGTTGTTCAGTTTTCTAAATATCAGGCTGATTGGGGCGCCTGGGTGGCTCAGTTGGTTAAGCCACTGCCTTCGGCTCGGGTCATGATCCTGGAGTCCCGGGATCGAGTCCCGCATCGGGCTCCCTGCTCGGCGGGGAGTCTGCTTCTCCCTCTGACCCTCCCCCTTCTCATGCTCGCTCTCTCTATCTCATTCTCTCTCTCAAATAAATAAACAAAATCTTTAAAAAAAAAATATCAGGCTGATTACAGATAAACCCACAATTAAAAGCTTTGTAGAGCTTGTGCTGGATCAGTGTTCGGCACTCTTGCTACTCAAAATGTGGTGCATGGCGTCACCTGAGTGTTTGTTCAAACTGCGCAAGCTCGGGCTTAACCCCAAACCTAATGAATCAGAACCTGCATATTAACAAGCTCTCCAGAAGATAAGAATTTATATTAAAGTTTGAGACACACTACTTGGTTGGGAAAAGTTGGAAGACTGAGGTCATGCATAAACCTGCATAAAAATCATAACATTTATTTTGATCTGAGGCAGTCTTTTGCTGATTATCAAGTCTGATATATCTGGTTGAAGAAACTGAGACCCAGCAGTGGTAAGTGACTTGCATGAGGTCACATAATTCATAACCCAGGTTCTGACTTACTCCAGTGCTTTTCTTTTGCTAGTTACTTCTTTATTAAAATGGAACTAAAGTATTCATGAATGAGAGCTAGGTATTCATTCCACAACCAACATTTATTGAGTAATGGAGAAGCAGCCCAATAATTCTGTGTGTTGCTAGTAACTGCTCTTTCCAATATGAACCCACCACCTTCCCTCCTTACTCCTTCATGAATGAGATCACTTCTTCACACATTGGTGGGAACACTTTTTGTCCTCTTTCACCTGTAAACAGGTCTACTTCTGTCTCTTCATCTCTGGTTGTGCTCTGAGTTTTTTCTCCTCAGGGACAATGTGTTATATTAGTTTTCTAGGGCTCCTGTAAGAGAATACCACAGACTGGGTGGCTTAAGCAATGCAAAATTATTTTCTCACAATTCTGGAAGGTGGAGCCTTTTCCAGAGCTAAGTATGTTCTTGTAGATATAAAAATATTTGTGTTTTGAGAAAGATGATTAGACGGATTTTGATCTTTGTGTTGTATGTATGTTCTATATGTGTGCGTTTGTATTTATATTTGTTGTTGTTGAAGTATAGTTGACGTACAATGTTATATTAGTTTCAAGTGTTCCAGCAGGAGTGATTTTCTCTGAGGCTTTTCTCCTTGACTTATAGATGACCACCCCCTTTGTGCACTAGAATCTCTGGTGTCTCTTTTTCTTATTAGAGTACCACTCATATTGGATTAGGCCCCACTCTGATGACCTCATTTAACTTAATCACTTCTTCAAAAATCTCACCTCCAATACTGAGGGTTCTGGGGTTTTGGGCTCCAGCATGTGAATTTGGGGGGAATACATTTCAGTCCATAACACTTAGTTAACTCTTTTTTTACTCTTAAGTGGCACTAACTTATTAAGGTTTAAACACACTTATCTTAAATACACTCTCTTCACTGTAGATTCCTCTTCAGTTTCATCTATAATTATTTCCTTTGAATGTCTGGAAGAGTTACGTGTATTCATTTTCTCTGCCACCTTATTACTCCACCCCGTATATTGAAGTCTGGCAATCCACTGCAGTCACTGTTGGGTGGTGGTTACCATTGATCTCTTTGTTCTGAAGTCTAGTAGTATCTTTTTCACCATTTGACATTTTGAGTAGTTTTACTCTTTGAAATTCTCTTATGCTTCTGTGACCCTGTGGTTTCCTTATTTTCCTCTTGTGTCTTGGCCAATCTTTCCTTGGTGTATTTTTCTCTCTTTAACCCCTTCAGATGCTCCTTTCACACTGAGGCATGGTCTTCTGCTCTCTTGTCTCTGCCTGCTCTTGAATGGTCTTATCTCTGGTGACTGCAACCACTGTCTTTATTTTGATGACTAGCAAATCTTTGTCTCTTTAGCACAGATTACTCTTCAACTCTGACACACTGTGGTTGTCTTAAGATACCTTAAGTTTAGCTCAAAAATTACGTATCTCACTCTTTCTGAAGTTCCTTCTCTTCCTCCTGTGATCCTTGTCGGTCATTCAGTTGGAGATATCCTAAATCTTAACTTTTCCCTCTCATTACCCTTAAGTGCTGCTCTCTCCCCCCCCCCCCCGCCCCAGAATTCTAATCATTTACCAAATCTTGTTCTTGGTCTTTCATCCATTTTTCCCTGCAGCAACCATCTTGGTTCAGACTATCATTATCTGGACTTTTGTGTAAACATTCTAAATAATTTCCTTTCTCCTAAGAATGGATATCAATCCCTCTTTACCCTTCCTGTTTTTACAGGCAGATTGTAGTGTTTTTCTGCAGTCTTTCCATTCAGGCTTTAGGATTAAAATCCAGACTACCAAATTTAGGAAATATAGACCTTAGTGATTTGGACCTAGCTTGCTTTTTGCTTTTTTTTTTTTTTTAAGATTTTATTTACTTATTTATTTGACAGAGTGAGCACAAGCAGGGGGCACAGCAGGCAGAGGGAGAGAGAAGAAGCAGGCTCCCCATTGAGCAGAGAGCCCAACTCGGGACTCAATTCCAGGACCCTGGGATCATGACCTGAGCCAAAGGCAGACACTTAACCAACTGAGGCGCCCAGGCGCCCCTGCTTTTTGCTTTCTTTTGCTGTTTTCTGCCTCACGTTACTCTGTCATGCTGAACTATTTGCAATTCTTCAGAAGTGTTAGAATGTTTTTTAAAGTTGAGACATTAATATGTTGTGTGTCTTCTGCCTAGAATGTACCCATCATCTGTTTGACAGACACCCATAACATACTCGTTTGGATAACTCCTTCTCCACTTTCATGACCCAGCATAAACGCTGTTTTGTCCCCCTTTCCTGCCGCATCAGGCTTTCCCCAGCCTGCTTAGGCTGAGTTACGTCTTCCACTTAAGTTCTTCTGAAACAGCTTTGTCATCTTTTTTCCTCTTGAGAGTTGAATGCCAAGATTATTTTGTTTTGTTTATTTGTGATCTGATCTACGTTCTGTATTAAGCCATCTCCTGCTGTAACCAAAGGGATGGAAGATCAGTATAC